TATTTGTACGCTTTCGGGACAAAACTATGCGAATTGGTAAACCAAGCTTTGAGTAGACGAAGGACCCAGCACAGCCCAGCACGGAATCGACAGGTGAACTTTGGTCCTGCCACCTTGGGTGTGACACCGTTCGACAGGCTTGGTCCGACCCGATCTGCCAGTACTGATTATGTTTAAAAAATAGATAGTTCATGGTCATTACTACAATTCATTCACTGTTGTAAGGCAGGTCAACAATGAACCCTGTTAGAGGGACCGGACAGAAAACAATATCAGACTGATAAGGTTTTGTCTGACATTGTTTCTGTTAGCACAGCTGATGCTTTAACGAAGTAAAGCACAACCACTGTAGCCTGGTATCCAGCCTTGTTAGCTTTAGTCCGCTACCCAAGATCCGCTCCCCGCCAACGGGGAGCGGATCTTGGGTAGCGGACTAAAGCTAACAAGGCTGGATACCAGGCTACGGCGGGGAGCGGATCTTGGGTAGCGGACTAAAGCTAACAAGGCTGGATACCAGGCTACAACCACTGGCCTGACTCAGTCATGAGTTACTAATTAGACCTACTTAGACATGTTGTCAAAAAAGTCACACAGACCTAATGTCGATACTGTCACAGCTGCATTGTAACATGTGACACTGCACAGCACTGTCCGTCCGTTTTATTTGTTGTTTAGGAAAGGGTCAACTTAGATTTATTGAATGTTGCCAAGTCCGAGGGCGGTAGCGGGTTGTATTAATCGTGTTTTGCATTCATCGAAACGGTCTGGTAGTCAATCATCGCTCTGCTTGGATAGGCATTTTTGTTTAGCCGCTGGGCCCGCATTCAATGAGGGTCATATTTCAGCACACAGAGAAAGAACCAACCAAACTGCCTCTAGAGAAAGGGCAAGCGTGTTTTCGATGATTAGTACCTGTGGTGTAGTTGCAGCAGAAGTTTCATCCGAAAGAACACGCACATACTGCCACGATCGTGACCACTGAGCCTGGTACTTAATGCGTGAGAGATTCTGGACAGATTGGGAACAGTCAAAACAAAAAGGAACTTGAAGTTCAACAGGTGGTGCAGTCAAAACGACCCAAGGAGGCTACTCAGTCGACCGATAAAACCTAGTCTATGTGGACAGGGGCCACTATAGGCATGCTTATGTCAATGGGAAAAGTCAGCTAAAAAAATAAGGAACCATCAAAGCACTGAAATTTGATCACATTGACCAGGTGGTTCTTTATATCGTTAGAGGTGGTCACTTGTACAGGTTTGACTGCATGTAAAAACACAGACGTGACCTGCCAAAAACACAGACGTGACCTGTCCCTCGGAGTATCAAGAACAAATTTCGCGTCTCCTAGCGGACAGAAACAATATCAAATCTGAGGCACAGCTTCTGAATTCTTTCCACCTCGTCTGACAGACAACGCGGAAGACCGGCCCAGACGGGGGACCCATACTCCAACACAGGTCGGATAAAGGACTGGTAGATTTCTAGAAAGGAACTACAGTGGGGATTTGACAAAATGACCGGTCGTTGGTGTTCCCACAAGAATAGGTTTGAGGCTTATCAAAGTACAGCAGGCTTCCCTGGTCATCCATTTTGTCTGACGTGTTTTAAGGCTATTACTTGTTTCCCTGGTAAAGAGGAGAGATTTCGTCTTGATTTGTATGCCACTAATGGGCAGTATAAGCTGTTGTAATGGTGGCAAATTTATAATGTTAACGCGATTTTGAAGCAACCGAACATAATTAAGGGAGGGGTCCTTCGAGTGACTCTCAAGAAGTAGAGATGAGGGCAGTTTGATAAATCCGTGTGTTAGTTAGTGACCGTGGGGAAACGTGAAAACATAAGGTTGAGGATATGTTTGTGCCCAGAAATCTATAGATTTAAACTTGTACGTGAGGCATGAAACTTGACCACACACAGTCTCACACGCGCTGGCAGCTTGACAAGGAACAGAGGAAATGATTCAACAAACTTAGGCTTTTCGTCAAAAGTTTACCAGACCACATATCCTTATCTATATCTAAGACTTTTGTTGCCGCAAAATATAAAGGTTTATTCGAAAGTGAGAGGGTGAAGTTAAGTTATGAAGAAATCGGAATCATAACGTTTCCTGTTGTTTCAATCGGTGTGTGGGATAGAATAAAGATCAAAATAGAGACAGGGGGAAAACTTTGGGAGGGAGGCCAAAACTCAGACAAAGTGACAGATCGATATCTGTGTCATGTTCCTTTTCGTTTTCTATACATAGTCAAGTTCTATTTTTTCAGCCCGTCTCCAATGAAAGAAGAATCGTTGTTAGGTAATTTTCTACGTGACATGTCATTATAGGATACAGACGTCAAGCACTGTCTCCATAATTATTTCACTTGCCCTAGGCTACAGTATCCACGTAAACAGGAACTTCACCTTACGTGTTTTCTGAAAACAAACAGAACACTTCGAATCCATGTTGTGTGCGTAGCCATGACTAGTTGAGGGGAACTAAAACGTTGACAAAGGGATCTACAACATGACCTAGAATCAACGTGAGAAAACAAGAAATGACAGTTTATAAAACAGGCTTTTTAAGTACAGGGGTACCGGCACAGAGTTAGTCATTTCATGACCTTAAACGTGAAAAGAAAACATGACTACATAGTGCTACGTTGATTATCTGCTGTTACGATAGTTTCATTAAGGTAAGATTTATCCTTTGTGTGATATAGTGAGTGATGTATAGTGAGACTTGTGATTTTAAGGCCTTGGCCCAAAGCCGAGCTCCATAAGTAAAGTTCACACGTTTCAGGTCAGAGATTTGTTTGGCGAATTTTTCCCTTATCTGTGTAGCTGTGATTGTTTAAACATTAATTTGGCGGCAGGCCGATGTTCCAGTCCCTGTAGCTATCTGATTTGAGTTAGATCCGTTATAAGTACGTGATCCAGATAATTCGGAATTCCGTTTGTCTGTAGATGTCGTAACAATAATCAAGCAAAAAATGGGTACAGTTTTGTTATGTCCAGTCATGTTTTTTTCACGCAAATCTGTAAATCAAGGGTAATCTGCCATCGTTAACATTCCAGTCAATTCTTCATGATACACATGATAACAGGGTAGAGCAGTAGAACACAAATCCGCTTGTGAGTTTAAAGCTCAGATTTGGCATGCGGGTAATTTTATTGACGTCAGGTAAATGGTGGTTGAGCCTCAGGCTGAGTTTCAATTCTTTACAAAGAACAGGTTGGAGGGGAGAAAGAATGACGGGCACATAAGACTGACAAGAGTGTTTGAACGCCTTTAGATATTATTTATAAACCGGTCGCCAACTTTTGAAAATACCAACACCAAAATACCAAAACATACCAATACCAACAGGTAACGTTATCAGTAGATATATGCAAGTTATCTAGACACACTGTCTGAGCAAAGTCCTAAGGGAAAATCTATACCCCAAACCCACCTAAAATGCTTTATCTCTCCTAGTCGTTTGATTTTATGAGATGATTACGAGTACCTTTCTTGTGTTTACCTTTGCACCTTCGCAGAAGGAAACATATATTGTTGTTGGTCGGTTTCTTCTTTCTCTTCTTCTTCCGCATCTTCCTGAAAAAATAAGGTTAATGACCTGCAGGTGACACCGGTACCGGCAGTCACCATGGTTACTAGTACTGGTAATACTAGTGCTTGATCTCACCAATGCAAGATAAAAACGCCAACATTGACATCAGTGATCATCAGTGGCTCCAGGCTTGCCTAATATACATGAATGCTTTCGAAGAATAAATAGAGCAGTATACCGTTATGGCATATGCTTGAACCAATTGAGTCATGGCAGTTCCAGGTTTACCCAAGAGTTGAAATTTATTAATACCGTAAAGACTCAAATGATATGGTCAGTTTAAACCTGTTATCTGCGTCACCAGGTGTTGCTGCCCAGACCTGCGACTTTGACTCCGGCAGCTGTGGCTGGGCCGCCTCCGCGGTCCCGAGCAGCGGGGCGTTCTACTGGACTAGACTGAACTACGGAAGCCCGACACCTGGCACAGGGCCCTCCGCTGATCATACAACTGGCATACAATATCGTTAGTACACCCTGTATCTTCCGAATATAGCAGGCTGTTGCTCACGGGCTATAAATTCAAGTACAACACAATATACCGACCCATTGTAATGCCCTGTTGTTTAACTAAGTTGAAAACAAACTCAGTGTGTTGCAGGGCCTAGGGGTTAATCAGATGTGTCCTGTTAGATATATAAGTCACCCTTCCTACACCCGTATCTGAAAGCAGCTAGAGAGACGAATAACGTAGCTCATCTTATCTTATGGTGTCCAAGCAAATCACTGCTGCAAGAAGGCGTCAGTGATAACACGTTATCTACGAGAGGTTTCCCAGGGAGGCGAGGGTCATGTTTAGGACATTTCCTGTTTCAGTACGCCACGCGAACATGTAGACACGCAATATGGCACACGTTCGCAGGAACTGTTACGACATTAACAGAACTTTTTCAAAGGGCACTGATATTTGTCCCTTCTCCCGTCTATACCAGGTGGATACTACTTCCACACGGATGCCAGCTACGGAGTTCAAGGTGAACAGGCATGGCTCACAAGCCCCACAGTAGACGCGTCAGTAGACCAAAACTTCACGTTTTGGTACAACATGTATGGCAACAGGTTAACTGGCGGCATGGGGCAATTGCAGCTCTTCCTAGTTCCGACAGGAGGCACCCTTGGCGATGACGGACTACTGTGGGTCAAGGACGGGAACCAAGGCGACCGGTGGATACATGCCTCAGTGGTGATCCCGCAACAATCGGCGTATAACGTAAGTCTGTACATGTCTACCATCCTCTTCCTAATTTCATTGACTGTACGTTATTCACATTGGGCAAGGAATACGCGACATCAATGACTGGCACATGTGTTTTTCAGCTTGTATTTGTTGGTACGAGAGGCTCAAGCATAGCGGGAGACATTGCTCTAGACGACATCGTTATTGCTGATGCAGGTGAGAGAACTCTTAACTTAGTTCTACTCCATTGCTTTTCAATCGGTTACTCAAAGATGGCTTCTATATGTCTACTATCTAGCAGCTTTGTGTGTTTTCAGATGCCTGTGTAAGTCATTGATTTACAGATTAGCTGCAGCGCGTGGTAGCATGTGAACAGCCCGTTCTAAGTTACCGTGGCCGATGCGCACAAGATTCTACATCGCTTTTGTTAGCTGAGTCTGTGTTGCAGGTTTGCCGCAGCTAAAGCAGGGCGTAGAAACTTGTACGTATCAACCACGGTACTAAGTGGATATCACTGCGCATGCGCCACAAGGTGTCAATTATGTCTAAAACCAAAAGTAGACTTTTAATTTTCCCCATACCCATTTCACACAGACACGCCCGACACTGCCCTGCAATACGACTGTGACTTTGAGCACGAGACGTCGGACCTGTGCGGTTATGTACAGGACGAGACGGACCAGCTGCAGTGGACGCGCCAACAGGGAGGCACGCCCAGCGCTGGGACCGGTCCGTCCGCCGATCACACTCTGGGCACAGATGCCGGTACGTTAGATCAGGGAATATGGCCATGGTGAAATCTAACTTATGGGGTCACTTACGGATGGGCCATTGGACCTGCTTTATTTAGTCCATGATGTTGAAACTAAATCTATTCAGCCTTAGATCGCCTATGAAAGCGTTTACTTTCTCCGTCTCTCTTTAGGACACTACATGTACATGGAAACCAGCAGTGATGGCGTTCCTCTCAGCGAGGGTGACGCCGCCCGGCTGCTCAGTCCCCGCTATCCCCCAACAACTTCCATGTGTCTGACGTTCTTCTACCACATGTACGGGGCGAATATAGGCAGCCTGAGGGTGTACGTGAAACAGACAGGCACTCTTACTCTGACGTGGTCCAAGAGCGGATCCCTGGGGGACATGTGGTACATGGCGATAGCGCCACTTGTGACAGACGATGAATTTCAGGTACATCAGGTAGCATCATCACTAAGATTGGAGTGACAAATATTTTCATGGTAGTCTTGATAGCTGCTTTATGTCTAGTAACGATATCACCGTGAGATGCATGTTTTTATCATTGAAAAAAGTAGAAGTCGAAGATTTGTTTAACAGAACTGTACAATATCATCTCTACAGATCGTTTTCGAAGCTGCACGAGGAAATGGCGCGTTCGGAGACATTGCTATTGATGACGTGGCCATAGTTAATGGGTCATGTCCAGTGCCAAGTGAGTACATATACATCGGCGATGTGTGTGTGTGTGTGTGTGTGTGTGTGTGTGTGTGTGTGTGTGTGTGTGTGTGTGTGTGTGTGTGTGTGTGGTGCGCGTGTGTGTGTGTTTGTGTATCTACATTGCAAAACCATGGCAACTTAAGAATTCTACAAGGGCAATTTCTTAAACGAATAATTGGAAAATGATATAAGACATCTTTGTGAATTTCCTCAATTCATAAGGTGTGACACCTGCACAAACAACCGTTCCAACAACCGCAGCTACAACGACTTCAACCATAACGCCGTTGGCAACGACTACAACGCCATTAGCAGCGGTAACAACGCAATTCACAGAGGCATCAACAAGTAAGTGGGGTGTGCAGGTGCTGGGGACAAAGTAGGCTTTAAAAGTTCTCATGTTAGAGTCTTTCTCCTATATATCAGTCTTTACAACCTGTTGTCCTTTTACCCTTTAATCGTCTCTGTTTGTCTCTAGATGGATGCAGCAACATAGAGAGATGTGCGCTTTTTTATTTACTGTTTTCATTTCGGTTTACATTTGAAATCTTTGGGCCTCACTAACATTGTCAACCGCCCATATGTGTCATATCAGTTGGGCAAAGTAACTCTTAACCGCTTAACCGTCCCGTTAATACCTAAAATTCATGTCTTGTTTAGTTTAGACTTAATAAAAATACATTATAAGAAATTCGACATGAAAACATGACGAAGTTGTAAATCACACAAATGAGCGAAATTACAAGGCAATTAAACGTCAAGGAAATGATGGACGTAGTACACGACCATGCCTTTCTGACATTTAAAGTTGTAAAATCGAGAAAATGCTAGCACTAATCAAGCTTAACATTTCCCTTCGATAGTCAACCTCGTGCTACATATTTTGGTGCCTACCCTCGTGGTTACATACTCTTATTAGCTATTCGCTAGAGGTACTACTAACATTACTAACACAGAAACTCATGCACAGCTTTTTCCCCATCGTACTCCACTCTGCCTACTGCACAAACCGCATCTTCTCTACCTGTAACGCTTGTACCCACGTTTGGTCCCTCGTCGGCCATGACGCCTTCAATGGGAGGTTCAGGTAGGGGCCTTTCATTTAAAGCTTGGTACATGAGCTTGTTTACCTGCTGTTTGAAGAATGAAAACTTGGCTTTTCTCTAGAGACTACGTCGGCATGCTTCTGAACAGAGTTGCGAGAGATTCATAGATGTAGTTATCAATCACCTTTCGCGTGCCGTGTACAGCAAGCACGGTGATTGAAGTATTTAAAATGCAGCTGTTGTCTCCTGTTGTGTAGTCTATACCCAGTAAGGTTGCCAGATATTTCATTCTCTTGTGTTTTCTCTGAACCACCTGTAGGCCCCAGTCCGACACCACCGGCGGCAGCAACAACGGGAGCAAACGAGACATCAGGTGGGCAGTACTTCCAGTCATTCAGCACTTTTGTGCTGTCTCACGTTTCAAATCATGACACTGAAATTGACTATTACAATAGAGAGGAGATTAATCTGCATTGTGCTTCTTTAATTTTGTGTCCAAAAAAATGCACTTTTCCCGTCCTCCCTTGCGTTATTCTATGAGAGTCTCTTTTTCAGATGGCTACCAGATGAAACGAACAGCAGCATTTTTTACTGTAACGTTAGTTGGTCTCTTTTTCGAGACAAATATACTTTTCTTTCCGTAGTCCTAGGGCGAGTTGACAACGGCAAGGACGCCATTAGCGGCACAGGCCTGGTGGCGGGCGTGTGTGTCGCCGTGCTCTTCTGGGCAGTTGTGTACGTCGTTGTAGTTCACTTCATCCGCAAAAAGCGCCGGAAACAGCGACAGGAGAGGAAGGAAAAGGGACACTTTGACGTCGTGTACGACCCCACATGTGATGACGTCAGCACACGATGGAAAGACGATGATGATGATGATGGTGGGCCCGGGATGAAGTGTGCCCCGGATTTACAGGACATGACTCATCGTAACGGAACCGACGCAACTAAGGTGGACGTGGATATTGAAACTGACGTCGACGCTCAGTTAGAAGCGGACGTCACACCTGATCACGATCCGCCAATATACGTCAACCGTGATATCGAGGTCACGCCAGAAAACTCCGAGCCCCTGATGAACTCTAGCAAAGAAGCCGACGAGACACGCCAGAAGTGCACCAGACAATACACCACAGCAAACAATGGTCCGAACGTGATAGATAGTGCGTCCAAAGAAAGCCTCATCAGTCTTAGGTCGGACCCAGACATCATATTCCTGGAACCATCAGATGCGGACGACGGTCCGGATTCCGTTATCTGTGTACCATGTTATAAAGAACTAGCAGAACATGCATCAGTTGTGTAAATGACGCAGGGGTCTACAACGTATTGACAAAACGCATTGACAAAATATTGTGAATACGAAAGAGGTGACCAACAACTGTACGTTCCACTTTGTCACTTTTAGATAGGTTCTCAATCAACACATTGGTTGTTTTTTTTCCAAACAAGTACTTGATTGACTTTCTGTTGGAAGAATTACTAGAATGGTACATCGTACAGAAATCATGTGGAGCATTGACAAATGGAGATTTCTGTAACATTAAGCAATGTGTATTTGCTGTTATGACATTTATTGACATTAACATGTATATCATTTGTAAAGACTACTTAAATATATACAACTTGACAGTTATGTACGTATCTGCTAATGCCGATAAGTTCTTAAGACCGTTAGTCCGTTCAAGTAACCAAAATATAGACTAGACTATAGGACGTCTTGTTCTTCCAATTATGATTCAATTATTCAGCATCGCGAATCATGGACGTATTTACGTTTATTTAAGGTACCTTTATTACAAAGATATCTTCACACGGAAACGATGCCATAGTAAACAGAATAGATTACAAGAGTTTCCTGTCGGAAAAGTGCGTTAATAAAAAGTGCTCGTCCAAACTTGTTGTGTATTGCATGTACTGCTATAGATTATAACAGTAGACGTACGTCGCAACTACGCCCCAGCCTATGTAACAGCTGAATCAACACCGCAAGCCTGCATGCAGCAGATCGGACACTGCACGTAAAAGAGCGTGCATACAGAGATGGATAAAGAAATTGGGAAAAGAATATAAAAAGGAAAGGTTGAAACTTTTTTATACAGTGTAATTGTTTGGTTGTTAATTACGCGGCTTCTGTCGTAAGCCTTTTATGGTGCCCTTAACACTCCGTCCGCTGTACGTGTGAGCAGGTAGCCGACTGTTGACACGGAACTTGCTGGGTTCCTTGACTACAAGTACCATTCATCAAAATGAACCGGACAAATGGCAAACGAAGCCCTGTATCAGTTAACCCCGCGACCCCATCGACTTTTGCCGTGACATTTAGTGGAGAGGTTTGTAGGAGTCCTATCTTAGGTAGTGTAAGAAACTTTGTCTGTATAAGAAAGGAAAGCTCGTACTGAGAACACGCACGAAAAAGGGGAGCTTTCACGCCGTGAATAAACCTCCGTACACGGACCTCTTACGATAACAAAACATCACGTATCACCACGGTACGACCAAAGGTACGACAAAAATTTGCATGAGTCGGAGGGTCGTCAGGCGCCATGGCGTCCCACACGTTACCATGGCGACCGCCTGTCAGGCGAGAAGTAACCATTTGTACAAAAGATGCCGCAGCGATGAGAGGTCGTTTATCAACATTAAGAACCGATCAGATCAGACCCTTGCGTACGATTTGTTTGCGCTAGTTGTTATTTCTTAGATATCAAGAACGATTACTACATGATGAGGGATAATTCTTGTTCCCAAGAACTAAATATTACCATCTTCACTTAGCACTATTCTCAGAAATAAAATCGTAGAGTAGAAAGCTACATTCAGAAAACCAACGGATCCCACATGACATGATGTTGTGTGCAGAGACTGGCTCTAGTCTTTTGTGGACTGGCCTAAGACTTTCCGACGGGCACCACACAACTGAAGCGGCTCTTTATCTCAATTACCCACCGCTAATACTCAACCAAAGTGTACACAATTTCTTTGGCTTCTTTGACATTTGCAACGGCGTGTGTAAACCATTCTCTTTGTGGCTGCTTGTTCCCGGTCGCCTTTGTATGACAAATCCCGCTACGTTTGCGGTATCTACGGCGGCCCGTTGCCCAGGGGAATTTTTGTGTTTTTGCAGTGACCGACATCTTGTTCACACCACGGCGTGCTGTACGGACGGCACTTACGTCTCCGGGAACAAGTGAAGACAACATTTGCTGTTTGAAGACAGGTGAGTTCGAATGTTACAAACTTACTTAGATATCCTTGTTAAAGGTGAGCTACCTGGCCGGCTCCGTGTACGCCTGTGCGACACCGTGATGTGTGTGGATGTGCATGTAATGTTGTCCTCCAAACAGGAGAAACCTTCGGAGCAAAAGCTACACAGGTAAAGATAACACACACGACACAGTGCTTCTCCGACAGTCTTCTAACGCCCGGGAACACCGCCAGTCCGCAAATGAAGGCGGTAACCCCTGATGAGTTGTGCACGGCAGAAACATTGGAAGACGTACAGACGCTAATGGCGTGTTTATTTCTCGGGGATTGTAACATGTTGGCTTAAGTGGACTGGCGAGGTACTTAATGGCCATAAACTGTTATCGTACTAGTCAGCTGTTCTGACCACAAGTTGCCAAATTGCCTGGAGTACAGTGGTCCAACTTTGACGTTTCTCCGTGGCTAAGCTGGGTTTTATTGTCAAGCAATCTTCCCTCTATTGAGTTCCTGATTTGACAGCCTAATCCTGTTCCTCGGTCTCAATTCAAAGGCTGCTAAAATTGAACGGCGTGACCAAAAGTACATGGATAGTTAATGTATGTAAGCCCCTATCGTCACAAGCCATGTTTCTAGCTAGCACTGGATAATCTCCGTATCGCGTACACATCTGTGTGATGAAAATAACTAGGGATTCTATCACCACGATATGATAGTTCTCGATCGCGGAATAACTGACGTACATGTACATTACATTACATACGTTGGTATTTGGGATGACCGAACAGGTAATATGTTTGTAGATTGTACGGTAATTGGACGGAAATGGCCGGCAACAAAAATTCCTCTTGCATCGTTTTCTGGACTCCAGAACGATTCTGAAATACGCGATCTAATTTTAAAGCACTACTTAGTTTTCTGAGAGCTCCTGAGTGCTTGGGAGGTTGTATTTTCGCCATAGAATTTCCAAAGCCGTCCTCCCACCTGTATTAAGATGGAGTTTCATTTCCTTCATGAAACGCTGTTCTTGAAGTTAACACTGCTTTGTGGGTCTGTAGTAGTGTAACGGTTACCGGCAAGTCCAATTATACACCGGTCATTTGTCGCCAGCCTCATATTACATGTAAACGTGAAATACAACATGCTTAACAAGCCAGAAGTGCGTGGATACAGAGTCAATAAAGGTCCAGGATACCGGCTATAAAACGTTCAAACACAACATGCAAGAGGTTGTCGTGAGTTCAAGTCGAAAGGATGTCAATTTATGTTACGGTTTGTACAATTAACATGGATTTTGCAATCGTCATATATCATATAGCGCCATTCATAACTACCATATAGCGTGCGAAAAAGATAATCATACGGCCTTATGAATAACACGACGCTTATAAAGACAAGCATGCATAATTTATCAGTCTGGACAGAGAGCTGTTCCCAAAGGCTGAGTGTGGTTTACCGCAAGAGTGTCATAGAAGGGTCATCAAGAGTAACCTTTAGAAGCACACCCGCGAAATGAATCACTATGTCATGATTTACTAGTAAATAAGAAACACATCTGAGCCTATTGACATGCGGAGAAAACAACCATAAGATTTAACTAAAGTCACCTAATCACAACAATCAATAGTCATATTCCATTTATTAATGAAATGAAAGTAAACGAAGAGAATAAGGAGAGAGAATAAAGATAGTAATGCAATGGAAAGTACACATAGCTTCATGTGATTCAGCGCGGTTACTAGTACATGTATCATTTATTCATATCTATTGTGTAAGAAATTAGAACGCGGTCAGATGCACCCCAATAGCCATGTACAGGCCAACTAATGCAGGCAAATCAATTTTTCATTGATCGGCAGACTAATTGTTTGATAAGTTAATGCCGTCACGAGGACCGCATTTTCACTGTATGGAGGGAACTGAACAGAGGCGGTCACGCGTACGGTACGTACTGTGACATGTTCTTAAAATCTCCGGTCATCCTGCGTCAAAGTTTGCCATTCTCTGTCGTGTTTGTGTGGATTGTTTTCTAAGTAAACTGCACATAGAAAAACATTTACGTGCGGTCGAAAACAACCTCCTTAAAGTTCCATAAGATTTACCCACATTACAGGTCCACCAGAAACCGAGGTACCTTAAAAATGATATCTTGCGAAGGATCAGAAAACTGTAGCATGTTGTATGACTTGGTCGTCTCGCCTCAACGCTCTGTTTTCATTCGCTACACACAGTGTTGTCTTTGTACTACCAGAACCAAAAGGCCAGAGACAGGCATTTCTAAAAGAACGTTTGTTCTCGACAGGTTTTCTATTCTACAAACGGCATTGATGGCTGTTTAATTGGCCCAGGGTTTGCCATGCCTCGACATGCCGCAAGGGTCCTGAATACTGGGCAGAAAAAGGGAGCAGTGATAAATGATGACCCGGACCTATACAAACACTTCAGTGCTGTACAACCTGCCAACTAGCGGTTGTCGGGTTAGGGCACGTTTCTAAAAACAGCGGGACAATGGCGCCTCATTCCGGTCTGTGGTAACGGATTAAGCTGTCCAATTTCGCGCAGCTTTGGGATAGTAGTCCACCACCAATATCCACTCATTAGGTATGGTGCCACACCATCCACGTTTGTCCCCAAATACGTTTAAGGTGTTAATGGGTAACGAAAACAATATTTGTTCCCGCACTATTTGGAGGTATGTAGACGCTACGTGTAGGTGTGTAGGTATGTTTTGTTTATGGGGCGCGTCAAGACTCCATAGATACAGTTTTCGGCTACCGATGTATGAACCTTATAGTTGTCGCTGAAAAGTTCAGTCGGGTACCTCTTACACTCAAAACAGAGAGAACACGTAACATCTACAGTAGCGAAGAAAGGGTAGGTCCTTAAGGTGTGTGGCGTTGCGGGGTAGAACTAGCTGCTCGAATCGTATTCCTTTCTCGAAGAGGTACACACTGTTAGAAAGGCAAACAGAGCGTTCCCTATTAAAAGGACATTTAATGTTCGTGAAAGGTTCGCAAATTGAGGCGTTCGCTGTGTTTTTTCCTAGGAATATAAACATCTATGCATCTCCAAACCATTATTTTAGTGATCAGGAAAACCTTTCAATGAATGGATGATTACACCAAAATAACACCAGTCGTTTGCTTTTATTCCAACAGGTAACACTAAGACCATGGGTTGAAGAGTGTTTCCCGCTTGGTTGCAGCCCCAAACCCTGTGCGTACAGCCCTCTTAACGGCGATGGAATTGCGTCGACATAGTACAGAACTTACCTGACAAGTTCACAATGTTGAACCAGCGAGCAAGAGACGCAAGATCACCACCTCCCAACGTTCTGCTATGGCAGAAGTTCCGGGAGGAGCGTGATGTTGCCTTACAACGGGAGGTCGCAGCTAAAGACAAAGAGGCCCTGACTGTGTACAAGAGCCAGGAGACGATTGGAGTCCTGAAGGAAAAGGCACAAAGAAAGGATGAAGAAAATCAGATGCTCTCCCGCAAGGTAAGAAAACTCGAGAAGCAGAAAAGAAAGGAAGAGTCGCAACAACGTAAGGCTCAGCTCAAGTTACAGAAAGAATTGGAAAAGTTGCGGAAACTTAACAAGAAGTTACTAGGAGACGTCGACGTGCTACAGACCACGGTTTCCAAACAAAAGAAGAGGCTACAGAAGTTGAAGAAGGGGAAGCTGAAAACGTCTCATGAGGTTGATGAATTCGGTGAAATTGACTTAGACCTTGAGGTGAAGATTAGTGATGACGAGTTCACCGAAGAGCTCGGCGGGGAGCCGGGAAGACGAAGGTCTAGAGGCCGGAGGTGGAACGCCGAGAGACGAATAGAGGAAGGAGACGAAAATTCAAGCTCTGACGAAGGACGGGGCACGGCAGAAGACGACAATGCGGACTCTGTGAGCTCAAGACTAGGCAGGAACTCAGCCATGGCCATGCATGCCGAGGCAACAAAGCAGGAGGTTTCGCAGAATATCGCGAGACTTCAGGATATCCTTTCTGGCAAGATTGAAGGCAACGTGGAAGACTCCATGCCAGAGGAGTACTTGGAGGAACTGCGAGCCATGGCCGGCGGCATGGACTTGAAACAGTGGTGGAGCAAGCTAACTCCTGAAGAGAGAGAACAAAAACTTAAACAGCTCAACAAAAGAGTGTACAAGAAGAAAGCCAAAATGGCGGGAATCTTGGAGGAAGGCGCGAGTGACGACGATTCCGCACATGGAAAGACCAAGGGAAGTCTTGGCAGACGAGGCAAAACAGGTGGTGAAAACCAGCCGAGGAGTAGAAAAACCTCCAGGAATCGTAAGAACTCCGGTTTAGGTGACGACAGCGATGGTGACACGGCGAACGGCCCTGCGAAATCACTTGCGCGCAGAAAATCTGTCAGAGGAAGGAAGGATGAGACAGATGATGATCTTAAAACGGCGGGAAAGCCGACAAGAAAGGGCAAAGGAAGGCGAGGAGGGGGCAGGATAGGTCATAATGATTCAGATGATAGCGACGAAGACAATCTTGATACAATGAGTGGGAAGAAGTTGAAAAAGAAAATGGGCAAGAAAGGTAAGAATAGTGATCACATGTTGGATTCAGAAGGCGAGGATGAGACTTCAGTGGGGAAAGCAAACAGAGGGAAGAAGGGCACTAAACTGCCTCCCATCAAAAACAAAGGCAGACCGGGACAGCTTGGAGACAACGGTGACAGTGGAGAAGACGGGAGGGACGAGGGAGGCCTAGGTGGATCAAAAGGTCGCAGGAAGGCTGTTTCGAAGGAAAAGGCTAAGGAAATCTCAGACAATGCCAAGAAGATAGAAGACATCTTGTCAGGGAAAGTGAAAGTGGACAACATTGAAGACGCGATACCAAGCGAGTATTTGGAAGAAATGAAGAAGATGGCTGGAGGAAAGGACTTAAAGGAATGGTGGGATAGTCTTGATCCTGAACAACGGGAGGAGCAAATGCAACAGCTCCAAAGACGAATGCACCATAAAGAAGAGTTGCGCCAAGAGAGGGAAACGGGAAGAGTTGGAGTGCCAACACTGTCAGATGATAAAGTTCGGGAGATATCTAGAACCGTTGATGAACTTCAAGACATTTTGTCAGGAAAGGTAGACGTAGATAATATTGAAGAAGCCATACCAAGTGAATACCTACAAGAGTTGAAGAAAATGGCGGGCGGAAAAGACTTGAAGAAGTGGTGGGATAGCTTAGATCCCAAGGAGCGAGAGGAGAAGATGAAGCACCTTCAGAAAAGGATGCAGCAGAAGGAAACGCTGCGTCTTGCGAATGAAGACATGCAGGGCTTGGATCCCGCAGAAAGGCAAGAACGACTTCTAGCGATAGAGAAAGAAATGAGATTACAGGAAGCAAGAGAGGCATTTAAAGAAACCGCACAAAATGTTGCAGAAAAGGTCGGGAAAATTGAGGACATCCTATCAGGGAGGGTTATCGCAGATAACTTGGAAGAGGCGATGCCAAAAGACTACCTCGATGAGTTGAGAAAAATGGCAGGCGGAAAGGACATCAAACAATGGTGGAGTAGCCTGAAACCTGAAGAGAGGGAAGCAAAGATGGCTGAGTTGCAGAGAAAAATGTACCAAAAAGAGACGATGGATGCGGCCAAAGAACAACTGAAAGGTCTTGACCCGGTAGAGAGAGAGATGCGGCTGCGCGAGCTACAGCGAGAAATGCAGATGGAAGAAGCGAAGCACACGGCGAGAGAAAAGGCTGTACGTAGCATAGTGCAAAACATGGAAGCCATCTTGGAGGGAGCAGCGGGCGGAAATATAGAAGACGTCGTTCCCGACCACGTGTTGCGCGAGATGAGAAGACTGGCCGGAAACCAGGATTTGCAAACCTGGTGGAAAAATCTCAGCTCAGAGGAAAAGCAAAATCTCCTGACAAAATTTGAACAGGACATTCGGGAGGATGAAAGTTTACAAAAGGCGATCGACGACAGAGTAGAGTCCATGTTCCGGGGGCTGGGTGGAGATGCCCTGTCTCCAAATGCCTCGCTTCCTCCTTTCCTTCGTCATTCCGGCCTCTTAGACGACGTCATTTCCGACTTGACTGAAGAGATGGTTCTACGTAGTGGAGACACGCGAAACTTTAGACACCGGTTTTCTCTCGGGTCTCTTCCTCCACTGACTATCAGCCTGAACAAAATGGGGCTAGGGTGGGGGATATCTCCGCGTATATATGACTACAATGTCATCGACCACCGCTACCTCGGCCGAAAGCCAAGAGCAGATAAAGTGATGTCATTCCCCTTGGGGAATTGGGTCTACATCCGTGAACGTGCGGGGAACTCGTGCATGACTAGAATCTTGAAGAGGAGCTTTGAAATGCATCGGCGATGACTCACATGCTTCATTGTGTAATGAACTGTCTCTGCATTTTGCGGTGTTTGCATTTGGGTCTGACTTTCAAAAAAACTAAATCCCATGCAGCTAGCTGTATCCCTTTTCATTGCCTTACATGCAGTGGACAAAGTCTTCACATCATATCAGGATCATCGTAAATATTTTATTCTGTAGTACATAACTTGCTTAGATTATTTTCTTTAACATCACGAGGACATTGAATTTTTTTATGCATTGATGTTTGGTTGACTTTTGTACGTGGTATCCTTTGTTGCTTCGATTACGTGACTGTATTCTATTAACACACCTGTACCGTGTGAGTCCTCAGAAGAGTGAATAAAGGACAGTTTTGATTGGATTTCGCTTCATTTGTAGTACATTGTGGACTAAATAAAGGCCCAGGAGTCCAGACCTCACAGTGCATGGGGGGGAGGGGGGCACAGTAATTCATATTCAGGTACTTTGCTTGGTAAGTAACCCGAAATTATTATACTTATGAATTATATGAAATGAAAACCTGGGGATGGTGTAAGGTTTTGAATACTAGTAGTTGTTTAAAAAAAAATTGAATTGTTATTGAATACATCTGTGTTATTACACCCCTCTTGCTGGTCGCTCGAACAGGTTTCAATGCAGAGGACCAACGTAACTGTGCGTGGCGTCTCCCATATTATTCATAGTCTGGCAATATTACCCATTTCTTTTTAAATGGGCGAAATGGTAGGTAGATTCAAACGTGCCTGGCGCTAATCAACATAATCTATGCGATGACGTCACATCTGGCTCACCTGTTGTCAGTTTCAACTTATTCCGCTACGTGGCGCTTCCGCATCATAGTTAGGAGGCAATGACCACAGACAACATGCCTTCGTGGGGCTGCATGGTAACTCACGGGAGCGCTAGGAGACCTTTGTGAGGCTGTGTAGAATTCTCTACGGTCCTTAAGAGTCCGCAGCGACGCCAAAACACCCCGTATACGTACCTTTGATCAATAAAAACTGAAGAGAATTTGAAGCACCTTGTTAGATTTTTTCTAACCCCAAGGACGTCCTTGCTGACCCTGACCTTATTCCTCATCAAAAGCGAATAAACAAATGTTCAGACAAACGTCATAAAAAAATAGCGGAGACTCGAAGTTCAAACAGGACATGACTTGTTTCCAATCGGTCAAAGAATTTTTTACAGCTGATAGCCTCGTGCTACGACAATGAGTCATGTCTTGAAATAGTCAACATGGTAAGTTTGTTGACATCCGTCTGTATACGCTCTAGTTTTTGGACTAACTCTCCACCAGATTGTGCCACGTACCCTGTCCTTGCGCCAGCGTTATATTTATACTCATCACGCCATACTCTCATGTCATCACTCTGACCTTGTGGACATCATAGCGGCATCTCTTCCGGACTTAACATTGCCGCGATGCCAACACCCTTCTCAAATCACAGAGGAAACCTTAAATCAGTCATCCTGCAATTACATCTTGGAGAATCTGAAAAATTCAGACCATACATGTAGGACATGTAGTCTAGCTAAGAACTTGTTACAACCTTTCCTTTCATGATCAGGCAAGTCTGTCCATTTCTCTATGGCCACACCAATATGGTCACTTGGTCTTCTGATTTTTGCAAGATTTTTTTTTACCATATAATAACCAGGTTGGTCAACATGTCAAACAATTTTCAATCTTCAATACAATAACACATGATAAAACTGTCAAAACCGATCTTCAATCTCATCTATCTTCTTGATACCAGCAGTTTCACTTTGGAGATAGATTTATATCCTGAATTTTATGACATCTTTTCATTCAATTTTCAGAAAAGTATGACTTAGGGAGTAACTAATCAAAACAACGTACAATTTGTTATTTCTATAGCTAGGTATTGACTTTGGCCACGGATCATTAAATTGTAATAACACCTCCACACAAATCTGCATAAAAAATTGAGGTGCCTTATTTTCAATCTACACAGCATCCTTGTTACCACCTCACAATGACACAGCGAGTGGTATACATGATGTAGCTCATGAGGAAGGTACTAGTAACTGAAAGGCTACTGAAATGTCATATGTACATGTAGCTTAAAGAACCCAGTACATAAACTAGAAAGGCCGACATTTGCTTTGGAGCAAATACAGCAATGGCTTCACCACATTTTACGACATGGCAGGGAAAGAATGAGAAACACAAGGGAAAACAATGCTTTACATTGATATAACTATAGTATGAAGTAACATACAACTAAGACTACAACAGTTGGATAGCTATTCCCTACATTATTGGTTAGGATTTTTAATTGCATAATGCAAACTGTTGATTTTCAAGAAAAAAAGAAGTGTTCATGCCCCGCATTCCAATGCTGGAGCAGGAAAGCTTGAAATACCTACCAAAACACTTGAATACAGACATACTGTCAGTATGGAATGGATCTGAGCAGGTATTAATTAAGTTAAGCCTGTTAAATTCCAACAGCCAATCAGCAAGGAGAATAGAGGAAAGCTGCATGCCTATTGGTTGATGCCCTGCATTCCATTGTGATGACTCATGCCCAAATGTGGTAACACTGCACACTAACTCAGTAATACATTTGCTATAACACAGCCAAAAAACTCAAATAAAACCATTCTAAAAGCCTGTATCACAAAAATTTAAAAAACGCCTAGGGGTATTTGCCCACTGTACCTCCATACCAAATTTCAGGACCTTAGGCCCTAAAATGAAGAAGCTGAATCCATTTAAAAAATGGCAGGAGAAGAAGAAGGAGGAGGAGAAGGAGGAGAAGAAACATCAGAAAAAGCAATATGGGTTCACCACCACTTCGTTGTGTGGTGAACCCATAATAACAATGTTTTGCTTGGCAGTGTACATAACCAAGACATTTTTTTCTGTTGTATTTTCATCTTTTCTCCTAGTAGCAAGAAGAAATACTACAGATGCATGTATTACTGAGTATAAGAGACCTGGAGACAAGAGTTTCTTTCAGCTTTTTAATGAGATCTTTGCCTCACAAAAGACAAGTTATGTTATTTTTTATGTGTATATTCTGAAATCATTCAATCATATCCACCAAACATTAATACATATATCAAAGTCATAAAATTATGTCTTATTACGGCACTGTTTTGAGAGACTTTTTTTGAAATTAAAGAGCAGTTTCAGCTTTATAATGAGAGCGTTGCCTCACAAAAGACAAGTTATATGTCATCTTATGTGTATATTCTATAATCATACAATCATATCCACCAAACATTAATTCAATGTAGATGTCAAAGTCATAAAATGACACCTTATTACAGGTACTGTTTTGAGAAACGTTTTTTTTTTCACAAATAATAGAACAGATTTAATTTGGATAAAGAGACCTTTATTTGTTCCTTTTTAGTGTCATGCAGGACACCCAATGATTTGTTTTCCATCACATGCAACAATAAAGAATTAAATCCCCAAGTAGTATGATACAGCATAACATACATGTATTAAGATGATTGTGACTGTTTTTAAAATTTTAGATGTTGGCAATACAGGCATGTATTTTAACATGTTTTAAATGACCTACATAAATATCTTCACAGTTTTCTGTAAGATAGACCATATGGCAAATGTCAGTGAATGTCTACAAATGCCTCTACTTCTTGGGGCACCTGTCCCTTGTATTTCAGTCCGTGTGTTTTCACTGCACGCGCCGATAAACACTTTAAGTTCACTTTAGTCTGCGTCTTTAAGACCACCTCTGACACACCTGTGGTACAGGTTTGTACAGCTGCTTTTCCAGCATTGTTTACCTTGTCTACATGTGCTCCAGCTTGGATCAACTTTGTCACAATGAAGTGTAGCGTTAGAAAGTCGCTGATGGGTTTGTCGTACTGTACGATGAGATGTAGCGGCGTGTTTCCCTCGTTGTTTGTGGCATTCACATCTGCCCCACACTCGATGAGAAGCTGTGTGATGTTCGGGCTGGGAAACTTACAGATGTCGTTGATGTGAAAGTCATCTACTGGCGTGCACTGGCTTACGGCCAGGTGCAATGGCGTGCAGCCTGATTTTGTCTGCGGTCTCATGCGAAGGAACTCGTACACTAGTTTCTTCAGCCGCCGGTCCTGTTCCTTGTCCATCTTCACAGCAGCAATCAGTCCAAAGAGGTACATCATTGTCAACATGTTGTGCTGGAAGGTGGCCTGTAGTTCAGAGTCACTCATGTGCATCAGCATACAACTGAAGACATACCGCTGCTGGGCCACTTTAGTCTCCCTCAAGCAACATTCCATCACTTCTGCCAAAATGTTGGGGTCAACGTCCTCCCCCAGACGTATCATCTGTGCAAACACCTGGGCAAACCGCAGGAGATCTTTCTGTACACTGCGGTTGTTTGTTTGCCTTAACTTCAATGCATGCATCCACAGGTTTATGCATCTGTCAAAGTACATGCCATCTGCATAGACTGCGCCTCTGTAGATGATAGGGTGGGGGACTTCCGGGTTGCTCGAGCCCAGGATACGCTCCCGTACCATCAGTGCTTCCATGTGTAAGGCGTGGGGATTATCCTGAATGGCCTCTAGTGCATTTACTGTCAGACTTTCTATCCTGCTGTCATATGCAGGAGTTGGAGGCAAGATCTTTTTATGTAAGATTTGAGGATCATCTGCAAAGCGTTCTACCATACCCTTGTACATGTAGTGGTATGCCTTGTCCAGGCTATAGTTGTCCTTGTTGTTCGCAAATGAAGCTCCGAGAAGCTCCAAGGTCTCCACCTTGGTGACTTTGTCACAGTCAGGTAACGAGACAAGATACTCCACAACTTCTGCATGGCTGCTGTCAGCTGCAAGCATCAGGGGGGTCATACCATGGTCGTTCACTTGGGGGGTTGCTCCTTTCAGGATCAGTTCTTTCACAATCTCCAAGTGTCCACATTCTCCTGCGAAGTGCAGAGCTGTGGCCCCACAGTGGGCCTTACTGTTAGGGTTGGCCCCCACCTCCAGCAGGTACGACACCACGTCTATGTGACCCTTGTAGCATGCAATCATCAGACAAGTGTTCTCATACTTATTGGCAATGTGGATGTCAGCCTTGTTCTGTATAAGGTATCTGACAATGTCCAGGCGACCGTCGAAGCATGCCGCACGCAGCGGGGTTGAGTTGGTCAGTGTGCGGTGGTTCACGTTGGCCTTGTTGGCGATCAAATCCTTCACGACATCAAAATGACCCCTGCCAGCCGCACACCACAGGGAGGACGCCCCTTCGATGATGTAGCCGTCAAACTTGACAACACCTGTCTGGTCCACAGGTATGTTGTACGTCTCAAGGATGAACCTCACCACCTGGCAAAACATATGGCAACCTTTTAACACCACACCGCACCACAATTATGTACATTTCCTCATCAAAATTAAATGACAGCTGTGTCTAATATAGATTACTTGAATTTTACAGTGTACAGGTAGTAGTAGTCAGGTACATGGGTTTAGGTACAGGTCCAGACCTGTCAGGACCTAACTGATGGGGGTTGTGGTATAATTTCCTTGGAGGCATGTTGGCCCTGAAGGCCAGGAAACAGCACACAGGCTAGACCAGAGTGTAGTGTTTGCTGCAAAATACACATGTACACCCTGTTGATAGTATTATTGAATTTGAACAACATTGACCTGTACTTAGCTTGTTAAGAGCACAAATGTACAATAAAGGTCTTTCATTCATTCAACTATTATTTGTGTGCACTACCACCTGCCACACTAGCTGCACCTCCTTTCCCACAAGACACAATGTGTCATGAGGCATTTTGTCCTGTGTTATGTTGAAGTAGAAACATTGCTCAATCCCAAAAATTGTTGTTCTGTCTCAAGATTTCTGTTGCAAGATAATTAGATTTGTGATTGTAATGATTGCCTGTATGCTATGCCATTGTGAACATGATAACCAGGTTGGAATCTGCACAGCAGCTTAAGAGATTTTTTATTATATTATCATATTTAAGCACAGTTTGGCTATTGCTTAGGCAGTAAGGTGAAGGTTAGTTACTATGAAGCAAACAGCAATATCTCAAACAGATGATGAATGGTTTGTATGGACGAAATAATATGACAACAGCTGTAGAAGCTTCTTCACGCGCTTGTCTTCCAAGGAATTCAGTAAACAAGTCTGTTATTCAGCTAATCCCCTGGAACCTTCTACCAGCGGCTTCTGTTTATCCACGTGGACTTGGCACTGGTCCACTGGTCCTTGGTGCCATATATCGTATTACATTATTATAGGGTTGTCATACTTGTCGACAAGGCTATCTCATCGCCCTTGTGAGCCATCTGTGGTAACCGTCAACTCTTTAATAATTGTTTTAATATAGTCTACAGAAAATCTTATGATCAAAGTCAACTCTTTTGGGTATTATTATTTTGAAGAAATGCAAATGTGTACAATGTACATGTAACAACACTATGTCCTCATCTTGTTGTTAATACTGTGGATCATAAAGTATTCGCAACTTGGCAGTTTTGCAGAGAGTTTATGGTCCTAGATTTTTGCAGTGAGCTTTTAGGCCTTGAATTGAAATGAATTTAATGAATCTCTGGCATCTCACATCCTCACATTATGATTAAATTATGAGTAAATAATAAACATATCAATGATAAACCTTAATGATTAACCATAATTTGTCACTTTCAAAGTAGCCAATAGAGGACAATTGAGTAGAAATGTCATCATGCAAACTAAAAAGATTAATAAATAAATGGTAAACAGTATATGCTAATTATATCTTAATTTGATAATATCTTCTTATTCTTGTAGTCATGGTACTAATTTGTAGTTTCCTATCTCCATTAAAATTTGGACGTCACTGGCCTTGGGTCTTATAAGATCTTATAATGGACCTTGGACTTCTAGAACAGTTACAAAACATTTCTACAAAATTGTTGTAACTATATAGTAACTCCATTGCGATCCAAACGAGACTGTAGAGTTGTAACGTACCTTGCAGTGGCCGTTCTTCGCGGCGATGACTAGCGGCGGCGCGGCCTGTCCTTGAGAATCCTCCGTCACATGTGTCAGAAGTTCACGGGCCTCTTCCGTCGTCTTGTTGTGCAACAGTGCAGCAAGTGTCAAAACCTTTCCCTCGCTAGCTGCGTTAAACACAGCCAAGTACGGCAACTCCATTTTCTCTCTGTCGACTTCCTGCGCCATCTAAGCGAAGGTTTCGACAGCCTTTAGCTTGGGCCGTCTTCCAGAGCTGTTGCTATCTGCCAAAAAACATGGCGATTCTCAAAATTTTTCTTTTGGTGGAACGCATTTAAACGTGTCTACCGATGACGTAAATGTCGCCCATGATATTTGGTAACAATGACTAATTCATCGCCAATGATAAAAAATAGTAAACAATTTTGATATTCTTGGCAAACAGAAACAGAAATAGCCATTTGGACGGCGGACGTGACTTGGGAGTTATTTTTGTTTGCGTGTCCTTGCTGTCAGAGGGAAAACACCCCCTCACGAAATGACGTTTTTCTGACCAATGGTAGCGTGTTATGAAAACGAGGCTACAAGAGGGAATCACCTGATCGCCTAGCCTTGAAGTTTTCAACCTTTGCACTTCTAACTCTACTCTTCCCCCACTGTCATAGAGTCTTGTATCAAGATCTGTATGAAGAGCACGCCCCAGCAACAGTTCTGCTAAGCGCTACAAAATTGTCCTTTTCCCCTTGGCTGACAGGAACACGGGCTGTCCATCATGAGCGTAGCAGCGCGGAAACGTGCCAACAAAGTCCAAAGTTCGAGGTAAAAATATGGGGGGGGGGGGTACTCTAAAACCGCTACAATCTATCTACTCTACTCTACTTTAATCGCGCTGTTACCTTACAGACATTTGCCAGTATTAAAAAGCTTCTACTTCCATACTCGTCAATCAAGCATTGCATTCGCCGATCGACCACTTGGGAGGTTGAAAGAGCTGTCCGAGTTATAACGGACTCCGTTTACTGAATTATGCGTTTAATATGCTGAGGTCAAATTTGGAAAAGACAACATATCTATATCTACTTAGCTGGTGTAATAACTGCCCTTCGTAATAACACACCAGCCTTGCTTTTTAAGTTCATTTAGATTTTAATACCGGTACGTCCCGGTAATCAGCAGTCTATACATTCCATCAGGGACAAGGAGGACAGGGTTCACCCCTCCATCTCAGGCAGTCCAGCTAATCATGATGTGGTTCCCTTCCACCTTGACCTCTGGTTGACCTTGACACTTGAGAACTGGATATTGGATTTTGGTCGACCCATTGCCATGGTAACTATCAACAACACAACACAACTTTTGTAGTAAAATTACTAAAATATTGTTCTGTTGCACTGTGTACATGCATGCCCCCTAGCAACAACTTCAAGTACTTCATGCATGACATCTATAACTGTTACAGGTCCTAAGTTTTTGTAAGACTTGTCTCACTTCTTATGGTTCCAACTTTCTTCCCCATCTACACTGTCCATTATTGGGCTGAAAAAATTAATTAACTACATAAGGAAAATATCACACTCAGGCTACTTCCATAAATTTGTAAGGATAACTGAGGGCTCAAAATATGACCCACTGTCACCCACATATGCAGGTTTCTAGTGCAGGTAGTCTTGTATGGTTGAGATCAGTGTTAAATGTCTTAAATGTATTTACTTTTCACTTCAGCTGTGGGTTCCTTTGGAATGGTCGCCACTGAACCTGCCCAGTGTAGGGGACTACTTCCACATGGCCTACAATGTCATCACCCCATTCTGTCTTCTCAAGGTAAGGTAGCCTTAAATACAACAAGATTGTGTGTAGCTTGTGTTACAGAATTCAATCTCTCCCTGTCAGTGGCTGATTAGGCCTCCTTCCCTGACCAGTGGAAGGGCTGCTAGAAGCACGATGTAGGACAGGCTATTATACAGCAACATATTTTTACTCATCACGTTTGTTATGTTTACAAACTTCTATCAAGTTATATGAGTTACTGGTATTGTAAATTCATGTATTCGTAAACATACTGTGGCCAAGTTACAACTGAGAAGCTTCCAGGATCTGCATACATACCGGTACTGTACTAACCTGTAAGTCTATAGCCTATAGTCCTCCATTTGTTTATATGATTTAACAGGAATTCTTTGGCAATGCCTCAGGGCAGAGAAAGTTTAACTAAACTGTACATGTCAATCTTATCTACTTAAGCTATTGGAGAGGTGTCCACGCAAGCTTCCCCTGGGTTCATCAGTCATCTACCTGGCTATAATCTTCTTTGTGATGGGAGCCAGTCTTCACCTGGTGGGAGACTCCATCAACCATCGGCTCATCCACAGTGGTTATCAGAACCACCTGTCAGTCAGGGACAACCCCATCATGCAGAACCTACAGCCAAAGTCACTGGTAAGATTCAACGGCAGAACACTTGGGAAATACCTAAAATACTGAAATGGTCATAGTATAATTGTGATGATTACAGATTGCAAACATACTATACACCAACTCCAGTGTATTTTACTATTTAGCTGGACCGTTTTGCAAAACACACATCTACAATGTAGTTGCAAAATTTTATCGAGAGTTTGTGAACTCTCAGTATCTTAATCAAATAGTTAGGTATCAATTTAAAACATTTGTCCGGTGTACTTGTTATTCTTATTTTCAATATTCATCAATGAGCTCTCCTCTTTCTGAAAAAAAAGCAAGAATGAGTAATAAGCTTCCAACAGGTTTGTGAAATAGTATGACAAAGAGAAAATTGAATTTCTTTGGTGAAAATTGTTTTAAACCCAACACTTCCTTTCTGGACAGGTGGAGTCCTTTGAACTCCTGTACTTCTATGATGAATACCTTGGCCATCTCATGTGGTGAGTTATTCATGCAGAGCTATTCTGGCTGAGTTACTAGCACTCTAGCTGATCAGCAGACTTTACTCTTTCTTCATTTCTGTCCAACGAGGTACAAAAGCTTTGACCACACATACAAATGTAGTCCTTATAATGGATGACAAGGCATATGGGCTCATGTGTGCTATGTTATATTATCATGGCAATTATTATTATAACTGGCTTTGCCCCTGGATTATGGAGTTCTGTATTTTTTTCTAGGATGCATGCTAAGAGAATATCAGGAATATGACCTATATTTACACTGACAGATCTATCACAAGTGTACTGCCATATTATAACTGAAATGCTCACCATTGTACGTATGCATTGACTTGAACCTTAAGTGTGGTGTTGTCTATTCACATCACGATGATTTATAACTTTCCATACTTCTTGTTTGATTTTGGGAAGGTACATCCCATTTTTCCTGTGCTTGGTGCTGTACTTCGGAGGCTGTTTTGTTCCTGACACCAGGAGGGGCGGCAACATGCCTGTGTCTGCCTGGATCCTCACTGTTGTCAGTGCTATCTATAACTGGTAAGTATTTGTACATGTACACTTTTACACACATATCAGTCGAGACTTAGGATTCTCCATAAACAAAAGGGCTGCAGACCTACATTTGTGAACATAGGATAATGGACAGGTACCAGTACAGAGGTTTAGATACAGGTCTGGACCAGTACATGTGTATGTGTAGCTGTAATTTCAGTGATGACCTCAAATCAAAGATGGCACTGGTTTCAACTCCTATATATGCAAACTATTCATCTATGAGATAATACTTGCTAGGACCTGGCTATAATTTTCTTTATGATGGAGGCCAAACTTCATCTGTTGGAAACTCAGTCAGCAAATCTTTTGTTTTGCAGGTACCTTGTAACAGAAGGACAGATCTTCCCTCTGTTCCTTGTGTCATACACAGTGATGCTGCTGATAGTTTGGTATAACAGAAAGTATAGGGAGGAGCCAGACGTCAATGGTTACTTCATGCTGTACAGTTTTGGTCTGACCCTGTTCCTGGTGGTGACATGGGTGGGTTATCTGTGGAATGACCAGGCCTTACGGGTCCGGTACCCAGGTCTCATCTATGTACCCGAGCCTTGGGCATACTATTCACTGTACATGGCAGGGAGATAGCAGATAGGTGAACAAAAATAATGTCATGTAGTTTCATCAATAAAATAAAATAGTAAAATAAATAAAAGGTAAATCAATTTAAATTATTACATACTGGGCTGTTAGCTATATAACAGTTACACCAAAGGGTTTAGTCTGTCAATGTTTTGGTAACCCTCATGTCATAATAACCAGTACAAATGACCTATTTCAAATTTGTTGTGAAATAAGATAAACATTTGGTAAAAAACAGTTTACCAGCAAGCAACCAACCATATCCAACCTCAGTAAAAAAAAACTACACAGACTCCAATCTTGCAATACTGTGCATTCAAGAATCATTTTATTACATTCTTATAGCAGAACATTTTTATCTTTACATTAGCATATTCTTTACATATCTTAGTACAAAAGGGCACTTAGAATAGTACACAGACACCAGTCTGGTTCAAGAGTTCTAACAAAAACATCATAGAATGAACTTGAGACCAGTTGAATACCAAGATTTGCCACTAGATTGCACCAACAGCTTAAGTAAGATGCACTCGATACACACTCACCTTGGCACTTTAGTACTGACAATAAAGCTGTCATCATTGCATCATCTACACAAACAACATAAAAGGATCACATTTACTTTTCCTCTACATACATGTATATCTTTCAGAGGCAATCTATATAATAATATTGTAGACAGTGGGAAAGCTGGCAACTGAACCATACAGCACTATTATATCATGGTACTTGTCATATACATTCATAGTACCATTAACCAAATATGGCAGCAATATACTCATGTCTACTATTAGTTACACTATATTGAGCTCTGGACAATTTACAATATTTTTTTTCACTCACATTTGAGTGGTACACTTTTGAGTGACCAACAAGTAATCCTTTAACACATAGCACCTAAATTTTGCAATTACCAACATAAACATGATGCCACGCAGCACCCTTAGACAGCTACAGGTTAAATCAAACACCTACAATTTTCTTGGATGGCAATTAGACTGAACCACTCTAATGCAAAGGGTGGCAAGGTCTGGTCCTAGGTGTACGTGTGCATGCACGGCCATTATAATTTCTATAAACATACAATATCTTCCACTATATGATGAAAGTCATATATTTTTCTAACAGTTCCTCTACAATATACCGGTAAGCCTTAACAGCTAGCAAATTATACAAAAATATCTTGAAAACACAGAAAGGACACAACCTTGTACAACCCCCTGGACCAAAAATTGTTACCCATACCAAAGGTATCAAAATGTAGGAATTTAGAAAAGCTTCTCCAAACTATCTTTGTTACAAACTGGTCTTTGTGCTGTTGTTTAAGTCTATAGGCTCTATCATACCAAAGAGAACAGACAAAGAGTGCAACAGAACATAAACATCATAAACATAAACAAGAACAACCAAACAATTTTTGATCATCTTCAGAATCAACAGCTACTTGGCACACCTGTCTTACAGGTTCCATGTTACACTGGAAGTAACAGATGCTGGAATTCAAGTCTTCAACCCATCTAAATGTGTGTTCCTTCTACCATAGAATCATATACAATTAAAATGCTGGATATCAATACTTATTCCCAAACTACACAGTCATGTATTTGTATGCTGAGCTCAACAAACATGCAGTTTTCCTTGAGTAAGTAGCTTGATGAGAGAGGCAACTGACATGTTATTACACTAACATGTAGAAACAAGTTACATTGTCTCAGGTAACAATCACAAATGTCAATGTTAAAGCACGGTGTACAGTCAGTGTGTAATCAATAGCACATGCTCCCAATAGTTGTACATATGCACTAGCAAACTGAATTTGTCATGTACATGTACAAGTACATGTATGTTGTGATCTATACTTAATTCACAAGTCCTTAATATTGTAACTGTCCAAGATTTACATTCTTAACCTTCCAACCTTTGTACCTGCTTCAAATTCTAAACAGGCTCAATCCTACAGGACTAAAAGTGGTCAATTATAATATGACAATCGTAAAATCATAAGTCAACCAAACTGGGTTCTGTTTTAAAGTGATAACTAACTGTTTTGAAATGGAATGTATCAAAATGGCCTTTTCAGCCACAAGTACGTGTATGACACATGATATTGCTAACATCAACAAAAAAAATTGGTATTTTTTCTAAATTTGGCAGCTTTCTTCACCAAAGACTACATTGTAGGTCTTCAAGGTTTGTTTCACAACATTATGCAAAAACAGACCCTCTATTCAATGAAATGAACTACATGTATGCCTGTGGTGTCTCCTCCTACATGTAGTGAACTAGCTACATCATCAACAGAACATGGCACTGAGTTGTAACTCAATGTAAAAGAGCTAAACAAAGACAAGTTTTAATCTAGTCTTACACATAAATTGCTTCACTTTCTATGAAGATTTTCCCCTCGGTGACGTGCATCTCCCCCCCGGGGCCGACTGCCTCCTCCCGCGCCCATCTCCACACTGGCGGGGACGTGATCATCAGTTCTTCCTCCGACCGTGAGAGGGAGCGTGAGCTTGCCAGGCTGCTCCGTTTGGACGGGGCTGGGCGCCGGAATACCTTACTGCTGTACCGCTCTGGACGCTGCCGCCGCGGTCCCGTCGATCGTAGTTTGGTGAAGTGCACAAGACCTTGGGGAGGACTCACTGAGGAGAGCAGTGCATGCATGCAAAGAAACAATATGAACTAAAAGGGAGGGAGACAAGCGGAAACCTTTACACCAACCAAAAAACGGGGGAGCAACTCGGAAGAGTGGTAAGTAAACACTGCAGAAACGTCATGCCAACAAGACAAGGAACACAGTTAGGAGCCACTCAAGAGGAGGAATGTCCAGAGAGACCCACTACCAATATGCAACAAAGATAACAAAGGGGGAGGGTAAAAATCAAGAGAAAACGTGTTAGTCTTCAATCATTCATATTACTTTATAAAAGTATTAATTACATAAGTGGAATATAACAGTCATCAACTTTAAGACAACTGTAAGATACTGATGTTACCTTTGGTTTCAATTTATCACTGTTGTCACTTGATTGGTTAATTAGATTGCTTGATTAGATTGAACATGCTCTTATGGTTTAGCAGAGTAAACATGAACTATAGCCAAATGCAAAAAAATGTCAGTCATGTACAGTTTTTGTATTAGTCACAACTCAATTATGTTCATGCAGTAGGGCAATGCACTTACAGCTTAAGCACATCTACAAATGTAGGTTATATTGATTTTGGTCTCTGAGTTAATAAGTTTTGGATATCCTTGTTGTTGCATGCTACTTATTGCTCCTGCAAAGCCTTTGGGCAATGAGACAATCAAAGTACTTTTATCAATGCCATTATTTTCTGTCCTCTGCCAAATCAATGCATCAACAACAACTGTCAGATTCATTTTGTCAGTGTACATTGGAAAAATTGAGAAGGGTTGAAGGTGGAGGTAGTTTACCTGGCAGGTCAAATGTCACGGCGTATTCCTCATTCCCGGTGTCCAGTTCGCTGAGGCTGAAGTCGTGTGACAGCTGGTCATCAGAACTCAGGTTGTCATCATCTGAGCTGCCGTGTCGCAGCTCCAGACAGGGGAGCTGAGCTGTCAACTGTTCCCTGAGAGAGAAAAAGTATCGAATGTAGCAACAACACAAAACTGTATTGAACACAGCAATGTTAGTCTTATATGGGCAGTCCTCATTCTTGACTAACATCGTACCTAATGACGTCGTAAAAATCCTACCCAACATTGAAAACCAGAACTGCATGTTCAGTGAAAGGAGTTTAATACTTGGGGATTACTCTGTGAGGTACATGTACATTATCTGGTGCTTACTTCTCATCCTGTAGTGATCTGATGTTCTGTTCCAGCACATGAATCTGTACCTCCCCATTCTCCACCACGTCTATGTCATCAGTCACGTCCTCCAAGTCATCCTCCTCTATAGTCGCATGTGGAGCCTGTAGGTTATGCTGAAAAATTCAACAAAATATTGTTACAAACCTTGCCTTCCAGTGACTAAAGCAAGGCCCTAGCAGCACTTCTAATGATTAATCCTCTAGGCTCTTGATGGTCAATACCTGTATGCTGGGGCAACCAGGCCCTCCTAATATAATCAATACATGTATCATAAATATAATACATTACATTGTAAGAATTCTCATTACATGTAGATTTAAGAGTTACTGTAATATGCTTCGTCAGTTTTTAATATCTGTCAAGACTCAAAGTAACTAAACCAATGGATGTTATTATAAGGGCCATTCTCCACCAGACAATTTCCTGTTCAGGTATACATGTAAAAGAGAAGAAAACAACAAAGAGGTTCACTGACCTCTCCTACATGTACTACAAAGAAACTGTGCTTTTCAGTAAACAGAATTCTTCAGATCTTCGAATTTTACTTTATTGTTTACCGTGTACTGTACCATCAAAGGTAGTTACTGGGTAAAGAAATAAACGATTCTGCTTGTGGGGCCTTGACCTTGAGTAGGGAGGGATGACTAACTAGGTGACCGACTCACCATGGATCTGCGCAGAGTTGTGAGACGTTTGCAAGCCGAAATCTCAGCAGACTCCAAGGTGTTGATGTCTGTCAGTGTGGAACGCATCTTCTTCAGCTGTTCACTGATGACCAGCTCCAAACACCTGTATTCAAACAATGGAATAGAATTTGTGAATCATTATACAGATGCTTGATTACAATGGACATGTATACAGAATTAAATGTAGATGCTAGATTACAATGGACATGGTTGAAAAGACCCACCAGCAACCTGCAATTTGCAGAAATTTCAACTATATATATCAATACTAATAACTTGCAATTTGCATGCTACAAAATTTTGGATTCAGTGGTATGAATTACAAGTCACCCAAGCAGTACCTTCACAAAATAAACTCATATAGTAACCCCAAAAGAGATTAAGTGTAAAATTTAGTACATGTACTTTCTAGCATTTCACACAAATGGCCTACTTTCGTATCATAAACTGTAAGAATGAACCAAAGGAAGAAGACTGCGTATTAATCAAATCCCTTGAAGGCCACTTTCTTACATTGTTGTTTTGGAGATGTGCTGCATGCTTTCTAGAGGTGACAGCTCTTTGTTGGTCTGTAGGATACATGGAGTGAAGACAATAGCCAGGCTGTTGGGCGTCATCAGGTTGGAGTCCTCGTGGTAGGCAACCCTGCAAGTAAATAAAATAAGAAGAGTTAAGCAGTCATCTTCAAGTGAGGTGAAGCTGTGGAATGTCATTAAGGTTATATAATTTCTAGTAGGAAGGAAAGTTTTCTTATTAGGTAGTGACTCTTTCAAAGTTTGTATCTAAATTTTGGGTTGTGCTGTTAGATATGTATTACCTGTACTGTAAATCTAAAAATGTTGGAAGTGTTTTTTTTTGTCACTGTTTCCGTGGTGACCTCTCCACTGCAAAATCATTACAAGATGCATTTCCATTTTTGCAGAATAGTTTCAACCTGAATTAAGTCCCTGCCAAAAGAAATAAAATTTACGGTAAGCAACTCAAACTGCTATGTGGTACCTTGCCAAGTGGAACACCAGTCTCTCAAAGGTATCGTGGTTCGGCTTGGGGAGTCTGTCGATGATGTCATAGATGGCACGGATGGTCTCACTTCTGGCCTCTTCTGTCATCTCTGTAACAATAACACAATCAGGTTTAGGCTTTGTCTCCACCCTTCTGTGATAAGACTTCTCTCTTTGCCATCCTCATACATGTATAAGTGGTAAACTATGGATGAAACCTATATTTCTTACAGGGAAAGGATGACATCTACTACAAACAATGTTTGAATAAACCACTGAATGTGAAATTCTTTTGAATTGTAGACACATGGAGCAAAATGCATATTTCAGAAAAAATATTCTGGCAACAGTGACAGTTATTGTGAATGACATACCCTACATGTGTATCTCCAACTCTAGTACAATAGAGACTAAATACTCACCAGGTGTGTTGGTATCTTTATCCCTTGCTGTCTTCTTTACTATAGATGCCAAGAATAAGAGAGTATTATAAGACTTTGCAGACAACACCACCCTGTGACAATATACCTAGTATACTCATATTTGATGGATCTTTATTTTGGTATGTGGTTAGGACCATTAGGTATTGGCAAATGAAGTGTAAGCCTCCTATTGACTCACTATGGTACTGCAGTGGGACTTCTGGTTTCAAAAATTTGACACTGCATGTTCTGAACATGCTGTAGTCATGACTTGGGCATGAGAGGAAGTGGTACAGGATTTGGACCCTCTATAACAGCTTTTAATAAACTTTTAATAAGGCAATTTTTAGATAAACTTTGGAAAAGGGTAAATCAGCAGGGAGTTGATGGATTCCTTTTCTCCATCCAAGAAACCTCAGCTGACTACCTACGACTGGCTCTGAAATAGAATGTCTTCTGGATAAGGCATATCTTATTTGGGGCAAATGGTTGCAGCTGTCTGCAATATTATCTACAGCACACAAATCATTGCCTACATACACACAAAAATTACTTCTATTTCCAGGATGACTTTACTTGCAAAAATAATAATATCCAAACTGAATAATTTACACCTTTGTTAGCAGCCTACATGAAATTTCCTTTCAAAACGTAATTGTTTACTTCTGATGCAGAGGCTATCAAACCTCTTGTTATTTTGGGTGGCACAACAGAGCAATATTTACAGAGAAGATATTTGAAATATTCCCTTGTTTTTTCATATAAAAGCTCCAGCATTTGAATATTTATACCATATATTTATACACACTAGGTTTGGTCTCAACCACTGAGAAACTAAAACACTAAATGTTGCTATGTCTTACATATGTCCAAGATCTTTTGACCATGTCTGTTGTGAACAAAGGTGTGTTGTGAAATTTTGCTATTTCAAGCAAAGACTGTAACTATATAACTGAATCAATGGTACACAGATGCTTGACAAGCACCCCTCCTTTTCTTTCAACATGGACTAGCCCAAACAATATTTGATTAGTCTGGTTGCCTCCTTCCTTCCCAGAGAGTTGGATGGCAAAGAACATTGCCATCATGACTCCTACATGCACCTTTCTGTTTGCTGTGTGCTTGAGTATGGGTACTGCTGGGTGGGCACTGCCCTTTGACTGGTACATGTAAGTACTATCAGATTGTCTTGCTTCTTTCTACTAGTATGTTAAGTAATTTACTCAACAGAAAAAAGATCTTGAAAATGTTTGCAGTGGTTTCAAATTTGTTTCCATTGTACATTGTAAATACATGTGAATACAGAATTGCTTCAACTGTCTTTTCACCTCTTACGGCGAAATTAAGTTGCAGTACAAAAACATCTGAATTTGCAGTATGCCACACATTAATGGATATTTTTCTGTCCTGTATAGGGGCTTCTCTGTTCCTGACCTGTTCCCGAGACCAGAGCCTCCGTGCAACAAGGAGTGTTCTTGTTCAGATGAAAAGATTGACTGCAACGGAAGGGGTTTCACCACGGTGCCTGAGCTGACAACCAAGCAGTACATGCACTACCAAACCTGGCTTGATGAGATTGACGTCAGCTACAATCAGATCACACGGATTCTTGACTCCGACTTGAGGGTAAGACATTTATGATGTGTCCTTCTGTCTTTGAAGATATACATGATTTGCACAAGCCAACATTGAGCTAGCTACATGCTTTTTAAGATAAGATTTACATAGTATTACATTGTTTGGTGGGCTTGCTGCACCTGTTGGCCACACCAGAGCCAGGATTACCGCATGATTGAAAATAGGTCAATTTGACATGATTCATTTGAACAGCGACAACAGTGCTCTTTTGATGATATTCCATCTTTGATGGTGTTCTTTTGACAGCATTTTCTAGCTTGTAAAAGTCAATTGCCAGTTCAGAAAACAATGGAAATCATGGTCTGTTGAACAGGTAGAGAATATCAACAATACCATTTTTGATGAAAAACAGCAAGGCACACAGTGTAGACCTCTCACAATGTGATAAGTGCCAACATGTTTCAAGGGAAATGATACATGGCAAATGAAACTTGTACCTATATAATATAAAGCACCTTTAAAAATATTATCAATGACTTTTCTATGAACCATATTCTGTTTGTACATGTAACAGTACTGTAAAACTTACATATCCACAAACATGCTATATCAAATTAATGTTAAGAACAAACTCTAAATATCATTTATTTTGCTTTACAACTGCCATTTTTAATAATTCCAGACATGGAAGCCAATATCCTTTACCAAAATCAAGTTCAACAACAACCAGATTGTCCAGATCGAGGCCAGCGTCTTCACAATCTTTCATCGCAGTGAGCGTCTCTCCCTGGCCAACAACATGCTGACTACCTTCCCCTGGACGGCTCTCAAGGCGTCTTCCTTCCTCACCAGCCTGGATCTGAAGAACAACATGCTCGCCTCGGCTCCCAACAGTGCCCTGCGGGGTCAGCGACAGTTGAGGGAGTTCAACATCCGGAACAACCGCTTCACCGCGCTGCCGACCAGCTTCTTCCGCTACAACAAACAGCTGCAGAAGGTGTACCTGGGAGGCAACCCATGGAGGTGTGACTGCAACAACAACTGGCTGCGTCAGTACATGGAGGAGAAGAAACATGTCGTCCAAGATGGAGAAACCATCATCTGTGACCAGCCCATCCATCTGACAGCGATGCTAGCCATGGCGCTCCCAAAGAGCACCTTTGAGTGTCTCCCACCGCACATCAACAAGGTCTCCCACTATCCGCAGGAGTTCAGCCTGACGGAGGGGCAGGCAGCCTTCATGACGTGCAACGCCAGTGGTGAGGAGCCCCTCACCGTCCAGTGGCTGGACCCACAGGAGAAACCAGTCACTACCAGGCGCTTCAGCGAAAGGGTGCAGGTGATGGGAGGGAAGGACGCACTCCTGCTGATGGTCAAGCACCTGAACATGGAAGACATGCCAGGCTACACCTGCAAGGCCTCCAACAGGGGCGGCTCCACCACCACCTTCGTTCCTCTCAACATCACCTGCACCTCGTCCTGTCCCAGGCCAATCTCAGCCCCAAAACCAACCCTGCTGGTCACGGCTCTGAAGGATGTAACATCCAACCAGGCTCAACTCACCTGGGCACCACAGAAAAGTCCTGATTGGTATCACCTGGTGTTTGGCAAGGCAGGTGAGAAGAAGAAGCAGAAGACGGCAGTTGTCAAGGCAAGCGAGGCTGGCTACACCCTGCAGGGCTTGGAGGCTGATACAAGCTACACCATCTGCATTGGAATGGTGGCTCATGTCTCCCCAGCTAACTGTCTGTCCTTCCAAACAAAGCCAGCCACCAATGGGAAGAAAGAAGAGAAGCAAGCTTCGTCCTCCAGTGTCAATCTTCCAGGGGCTATCATTGGAGGAACAGCTGCCGTTAGCTTTCCATTTGTCATCTTCAGCCTGGTCTGCCTCTACCTGAAACATCGCAGAGACAGAGATGCTGCCATTGTGGCCGCTGCAGCGGCTGCCCAGCTCCAGCAGAGTGCCATGCTGTGGCACACCAACAGGAAGATGACCTCACCACACCAGGGAGAGATGAACGACTACTTCACCCGTTCTGACATGCACGGCCGCAACCAAGCTCCGCTGGGTAACGCTCACAAGCACGCACAGCCCATTCCCAGCCAAGGGATGGAGCAGCACCACCACGGCTACAAACCAAACATCCCTCCCAACGACCTCGGCCACTGGAAGATGAACCAAAACAACCTGACCCCGATGAACCCACCACAGGCCATCTACGAGGAAGCCTGCCCCGTGATCAGAGGCAACGCCCCCCCACCCCCCATCCCCAGGGATGTCAACATCTCCATGGCAACTGAAGACATCTACGGCACGGCTTAGTGACGGTCCAATCAGGTCAAAAGTCAAGGAAAGCCAAGTGATGAGAAAAGTCAATGTTACCAGTTTTTTGAGTGAGCCCCTCTCTTTTGTAAATTAACACCTATGCTGTTCCCAGAATGAAGAGAAGCATGAGAAACTACATCACAGCCTGGGAACTCAATCATTGAATGAACATCACAAAATACTTCCCCCTGTCCATAGTACTGAAACAATGATCTCACAACACTGTCCCTGTCCATGGTACTGAAACAATGATCTCACAACACTGTGCCTGTCCATGGTACTGAAACAATGATCTCACAACACTGTGCCTGTCCATGGTACTGAAACAATGATCTCACAACACTGTGCCTGTCCATGGTACTGAAACAATGATCTCAAAACACTGTGCCTGTCCATGGTACTGAAACAATGATCTCACAGCACTGTCCCTGGTACTTAAACACCAATCTCATAACACTCCCTGTCCATGGCACTGAAACAATTATCTCATAATACTGCTCCTGTCTGTGGTACAAAATAATAATACTGACATAACATCATACAATGTTGTCCCTCTTTTGTTATACCATACTGCTCAGTCCCTTGTTGTTACATGGTAGAGGTAGTGTGTTAAATGCACAAGGTAGTACTGGCTATTGAGTAATGAAAGTACCTGCCAGTTTTGAGACTCACAAAATGTACTTTAGTTGTAAGAGGTTTTGTTCATAGAAGTTACTTGATGAGATTTTGTAATTCAAAAAGCAAGAAATAGAGTTTGTACGCTTTACATAACTTGTGACAGAACACTAACAATACAATAATTAGCTAAGTAGTAAGGATTACACTGCATTTACATTACCAGTACTTTGCAATTTGTATGAAATGAAATTCTAAGAAGAGGAAGACAAATACTGGTAGTTGATGTACAACAATGCACAAATAATAATTTATTGTCAAAACTATATAACTCAATTTCCAGATAGTCATGTACATCAGTAAAAATCAATGCTGAGTACTAGATGTAAGAAGTGCTGTATGGTGTTTTACAAACTGTATCAATAAATCTGTGTTAGATTCAAACTTCACCGGTCTGTTTGAACTTTTTACATGCATGTAACTTATATGTACAGGTGAAATTATAAAATTGAGTCTTATTAAATGTGCCAGAAGAAATCAAGATGACTGAAAACTGCATTCTAACAGAAGTAACATGGGGGCTCAAACCTGTACCATTTCTTCTGAATCCCAAAAGTTATATGCAACCACAAAATCAAGACCATATCACATATACTATGTCCAGAACAGAAGATAAAAGCTGTAAGTTCCACTGCAGTATCAAACTACATGTAAGCTGATACTAGGACCAGAGACCTATCCACATACTGAATATCCCCTCAATCCATTGATAGCTTCTAAAAATTGCTTACAAAGGTGCACACACACACACACACACACACACACACACACACACACACACACACACACACACACACACACACACACACAACCATACCTCCTTCACAGAGTAATAGGCAATCTACTACTTCAGTTGGCAAAGTCTCACCTGTACATCTGAGAAAGTCGTCATATAGGGCGTAGGTCAGCAGAGGCTCAGCCATCTCTCGGAAGAACAGTTTCAGCACATTACAGACCACGTGGATGGGGTAAGCCTCCATGTCAACTGCCTCAACATCTGTCATAAGGAACAAGGTGTGGTTGAAAAAAAGCTCACGGGTCTTCCCAGTGCTCAGAAGGTGCAAGGCATCACACCAGAGGTGAAACAATCCTAGAAGGGTCTGGGGGCATGTTCACCAGGAATAATTTCGAAATCTTGACGCTCTGAAATGCTATTTCCTGCATTTTGAGGGGCAAATTTTGCTGGTGGACAAGAGTTGATTTAATGATATCTCTTTCCATATCCTTACATTACACATTTGTCTGTCAAAGAAGACGGATTGGGCAAAAGTCATGAGAGACAAAATTCCGTGAAATGACCGAAAGACGAATGCTGGCCAGATATCTGCTGCAAACTCTTAACTTTCCCTGTGCTTCAAAAAACTAAGATGAATTTCCAGTATGTTCTCCTACCTGCATTACACTCATCCCTCAACTGTTTAATCTTGGCTGCAGCGCCTGATTTTCTGTAGATGCCCACGGTGTACAATCCCTCCTTCTCCACAAAGCTGATGCACTTCTCTACAAGCACTGGAACCTTCCGCCCTTCTGGGAGAAGGGTGGAGATGTCTGCCCCAAAGTACTGGTCCTCATCAGAGCCAGAATTCTACACATGGGTAAGATGTAGTTTAGCCTGGAATCCATTCTATTCTACCTCCAGTTCACTTCTCTGTTGGCTTCCCTGCTGAATAAACTGACACTCACTGATAGAGGAACAACTGGCTTTGACTATTTGCCTAAAGCACTAAAGTGAGAGCTCTGATTGGCTGTGTCACAGTAAATGTTCTCTGTTCATGGTAATGTAACACTGCTTCCGAGAAATATTTCATGACGTAATAAGGGCTAGACATTCAAGTGGAGACGGGTGCCAGACTATTTAGCAGGGAAGCCATCAGAACTAAGCTAGAAGAAGATGGATACCAGCACGGCAGTTTGCAGTATAATGCAAAGATAACTAATGTCCAAATAGCACTTAGCTAATACAAGGTATATCTGAGGACTGAAATGGATGAATAGATGGACACTATAAAGCTATAAGAAACATCAGAAAGCTCCTTTGAAAATCCATAGAGGAAAGTCAATTTCCTCTGAAACAGTTGTTTATTCACCTTTATGGGGGCAGTATTTGAGTAAGTCAAGTAAGAATAGATAACTAGTTTTATACTCACTCTATTCTTTCTATATAAGAACCCCTTACAGAAATGTCCAGACTTCTGGTAGCACTTCTTGTGGCAGGCAAATTTGCACACTGTGAACAGATGTTAAGTATTCATCAACAATGCAGAATGTAAAGTTACAAGTGACAAATGAAGCAATACTGTTCCAACATGTCATGGCTGTCACACAATACTGTCCCTGTCCTTAGTACTGAAACAATGTCATTTAATACTGTCCCTGTCCATGGTACTGAAACAATGTCACACAACACTGTCCCTGTCCTTGGTACTGAAACGATCTCACGATACTGTCCCTGTCCTTGGTACTGAAATAACGTCATATAATACTGCCCTGTCCATGGTACTGTCCCTATCTGTTGTTACAGATGCAGATTGCTGTACCCATTTGTATATTGAACACTTAATTTTGGGATAACTATCACTAAAATCACTTATTTCTGGATGTGCACAACTTGAAATGTAAACTTTTTTATTCTACTATACTCTGCAACACCATATAACAGGCATGTAGGTCATATATGAATACTGATGAGGATAGGATGACACCTACATTGGCACAGCATGCCCTTTGACCCAGACTTGATGAGATTGGAGCACTGCTCACAGAACGTAGCAATGTTGAACTGGACTGTCTCGTATCTGTGTCCATTGAAAGACTGAAAAATACAAAATAGCAAACAGGCTGGTCAATATCATCTTCCTGCTTTTTGTAATATAATAAGTCACTGCACAAACATAGCATTTGAACTGGAAAGGTTCGATTGAGTGTCACCAATACATATGACACAATAAATACATCACATAGAAACAAAATGCAGTAATATGTACGTTACTGTTAAGCAAATAACACTCCTATAGTGTATGATTAGCTGATCAATGTATAAGGTAACAGTCTAAAATGACTGCTGAAGGAAAATGTAGCATACTTAGAGTACATATACTTACAAATGAATCGTCCTTTTTCCTCCTCTTGTAGCGAACAGGACTCGTCTGAAAATTGAAATGACACTTGTAATAGATGTATTGTACAAATTATCCTTGTAGAAATGTCACAATAAATATTGGATAGATTTGCATTTTTTGACAGACACTTGCTAATCTCTTAATGCAAACATCATGGATTCACTCACACTCACGGTCATTCACAGTTGAAAGTTCAATCAATTTAAAACAAACCTTCTCTAATAAAAACATCTGCTTACTTATACCAGTGATCTAGCCCCTGCTGTAGGGCTTGTACATGTACAACTGTGTGGTTCAAGGGTTATAGAAACGTAGGAGGATGAGCACTGTCCTAAGCATCAAAAGGTGTGGGGAGGACCTTAACTAACACTAACAGTAACTTAACTAACCGTAATGTACCCTAGAAACAACAAAGAGAGCTATCTAATGTCTACCTTATTGACTTGCTTCTCCCCAGGGTTGTAGTTCCTGACAAACTCGTCCAGGAACCCCCTGAAGGCGTTGATCCCCAGGGTGACCGGGAATTTGGCACTGGTCTTCTCTTTACTGACGACGTTCTCCAGTACCTTCTCAAACTTGGAGATCAGGTCCTTGTAGCGCAGGGTCACCTCTTCGTTAGTCTAGAATACAGTACATTACATGTACACATGTGGTGTTGATTTCATAACAGTTACAATAGTGGAGGTCCCAGGTTCAATTCCTGGTTAGACAATGTGTCCTTGGGAAAGGAACATTACAACTTTCCTCACCCCAACCAAGTGTAACTGGGCTGACTTTTGTTTGGGGAGGTAAAGGAGAGGTATGGGCTCAACCTTATCATACAATGTCCAAGACACAGTGGATCAACCACCTACAGTTAACATACATGTACATTGTAATGCCCCAATAGCCTCTGGAGCTATAAATGGGACCCTTACCTTTTCACCTTTACCTATTCACCCCAAGTCATCAGTACTTTACTTTACTTTATCAAAAACTCACCATGAAATAAACAATAGTTACAACAGTCTGGGGGTCAAGAATCTCCTCTGTATGCATGCTTTTTAAAATGTACATGTAGGTCTTACAGGTAGTTACTAGTGTAGTTGCTTTAGAACTAAGACATTAGCCAAGAATACCAAGAATGATATTAAAATCCACTCTACAGGCTAGGTACATGTACAATGTACCTGAAACTGTATTACTAGCAACTAATAAAATCACAAGAGGAGTAACTCACTGATATTGCAGCAGAATATGTGGTGATGAGGTCACTGTGATACTCCCTCATGGCCTTCTTAAACACAACATCCACAATCGTATCCCTCCTCCCGTCATCTTGATTCATGTCATTGATCTACAAGTACAACATTAACAAACACTCAGTAAGTACACTGCACATTTTATTATCCAAAACAACTTGATTCCACAAGTTTCATCACCAATGCTGAACTATTACAACTTGATTCAAGGCTTTGCTGGAAGGACAGTTAAGGGAGTGGTGACAGCCAAAATTACTGTGAAATTACCATGGCAGTGGACACTAATGCCAGACAACAGCAGCAGTATACATCATATTTGCAAAGACAATATTTGGTACAAAGTAAGTCTATGTCAAATTTCATATATACAAGCAATGCTTCAGTTTAATATTAGTGCATTCCTCTTATGACAGACTTCAGCATCTATAGCTGACCTACCTTTTTCAGGAGGAATGCATCAATCTGCCTGAGGTCATAGGCATTACTGATGACGATGTTGGTCGGCACATTTTCCAGTGAAGCACCCTTCAGGTTCATCCCGGTGGCAGGGGTGGGGACCCGCTCGGTTTCAGCCACTGCTTTGGAGCGTTTCTTCTGTTTACTGCTCCCGCTGGGATAACACGTTAGGGCCTTCATGCAGCAGCGGTCGTGGAACACTTGGTTACAGACTGGTCAGAGGAGAGATCGACAATCAGACAATAAATAATATACAATGCAAAGTCAAACCTGTGGAAGTAAACACCTCTACATGAGGACCACCTGGCCAATGTCACCACTTTTTGGTGCTCCCTTCAAGTTCAATAATTCTTGCCATTGACACAAGCATTACGAATCCTGTCCATAGTGACCACCATACTGGACAGATGGCTACACATTACCCTGAGTAGTCTTCTTGGGAAAGTATACATTGTACCGTATGTACATGTACATGTATGTATCAGTGACAGGTTTTGACAATCAGCTATCAGTGTAGAAAGCCAGAGTACATGTACATGTATATCTCTGGTGAGAATCTACCCAGTGTATTATGGACAGGGGTATATTCCGGCCTAATACACAGGTATACATAACTTTATATTTGGGATTGATTTTAAATTCATAGCTGGGTCTCTAGAAACTTGTGATTCAATATTTAACAAGTTACTGGCCATAGTGTATTAACATCTTTAATCAATGAGAAATACAACTGAAACAAGGAAGGTAACTAAAGATATTTAACAAATCTAAATGGCGAATATACATTTGAATGATTTCCTAACACACATACATTTATGTGTATGACAATAGATACATATCAAAATGAAAGCTACCTCCCAAAAAGTGGTTAACCTACATGTACTACACAATTTACTTTGAACATTTGGGCATGTACAACGAACTGCAATCAAACTTTTAACGTCAATTAGCAGACTTGTAAGAAACGTAATAATTTATTCTAAATTGCATAAAAAGGACCATACACTCCATTTTGTATTTTAGAATATTCCAAAACGTGTTCTGCAATTAAGGCAGCATTTGTAACTCTCTCATCTGGACATGCACCCACCGTTGCACTTTGACCCCTCCTTCACTACATTCTTGCCACATGCACCACATTCAACAGCCTTGCTCAGGCTGGTCGTTTTCAAGTCGTGGTGTGGTGGCGGCGCGTTATCGTCAGCAGTTGGACAGAAAGGCGGCAGCACTGCCACTCCAACTTAGGGCACAAACGACAACAACAAACATGCAAGACAAATGACGTGACAATCAACAAAGCTGTCAAAAATTATGTTTGATAAACAAAATTAATGCTAATAACATATGGACGCAAAACACATGCTCGAGTAAAACTAATAAGAAACTGGAACAAAATATGAGAGGCGTAACTTACCATGCAAAAGATAGGAAGATACAGGACAAGAGTAATGACTTTGCTTTAAAAATAAATGCGCACATACATGAGACACTGAGCTTTAATGAAATTAGCAATTATGCTAATAAGCAAATGACAAGATGCTGCATTAATTCTTAGGCTTCTGTTTGCATGTGGCTGATGTCATGTATATTGTTGTACATGTATTACGAGCAAGCTAGCTTGCAGGGGTAGGAGACATAGCATGGGAAGAGAATGAGTGGTGCAGTGTGCTATAGTCAGCTACACGGTCACATGTCAGGACTTTCAGAAGCCAGCCAGCTGTCCAGGCTGACTCATGCTCTGTCTTCACTGCACAATGATTGGATCAGGGATAATCACATTATCAGCAATACCAAATATGGGTGGCCTGTGCACTCTTACTAGAATCATTTAGATTCTGTAACACAGGGGAGCTTGTCACTGGTTTGTCCTCTAATAAATTTGATATGAAATCAAACTTGAAAGGCACTTCAATAAGGATAGATCTTCCAGCACTCACCCATCCTACTTCTAAAAATACAGGGAAGTAGCCTCTCCATGTGACTTCAGCACTGCCCCATAGCTAAATGAAGGATGATCCAATGACTATGCAGTGTGGACAGAAAACTCTAGTCTACAGTCTTGAGTAAAAGCTAGCTGCAATATAATAGGCAGAAATCTGATGGCCTTACAGATCAACTAGAATAGCAGAAATGCGAGGAGAAAATGGAGCCAGGACAGATGGAAAATTTTCCTCTCATTACCAACTAATACTATGTAAAGGCCTATTTCATTAATGTCTATGGGATTTCCATTCATATGCTACCACATGAGCGAGACAGCATTTACTACATGCAAATCTGTTGCAGCTTCTTAATTCAATATCTATCTATCTACTACTCAAGGACATTGTATGTCCTTGATCTACTCTAGCCCACTACATTACTACATGATAATACATGCAGTTGTGTGCTGAGAAATCTAAATCATCAGAATTGTACAAATGTACATGTATGACCGGAGTATAAAGAAGCAAGACTACTGGTAGGTGTTCACAAATTCTCAACATTTTCAACTTCAGTGTGTACGAATTTGATAGATGTCTGACTGAGTGTGCAATCAATACCTCCAACACATGTAAAGAGAGATGTCCCCATACATCGCTTTTTGTCACTTGAGCAAACTGCAAAAGAAGAAACTCATCAAAAACACCTACTTGACTCTGGTGTCTTGAGGCTGTCCTCTTCATCTGAGGTCAGGTTAGATGGTTTCCTCTTCCTTGGGGCTAGAAACTTCTTCCTCAGCTTCTTAGTGATGGTCTGTATCTCTGAGGAGATGGTACTCGGGGAGGAGGTGGGGGTCTCCAGCAGGGGGGACTGCCCGCTGTCGATCTTGGCCTTCTTCTCAGACAGGACTCTCTCCAGGTTGGTGATGTTGTCCTCGGAGAGGTGGAGTTTGAGCGCAGCCTTGGTCTGGGTAGGAGAGGTCAGTCTGGGGGTGGACGATGAAGGTGACCCTAGGAGTCCAGCTTTGGGCTCTTCAGGCATCTCTGCTGCTAGAACCTGTACAGGGAGTTGAACCATGATGCAAATGTGTGTTTGGACTGGACAGTCAAATATCTTGAAAGCATTTACATGTATGTTTTGTACTGAGATTTAAAGTGTTATACATGTACATGCATGTGTATGCACAAAAGTCATGCTGTATTCATCTTGTCCTCATGCTATATACAGTAACAGTGTTTTCCCAACAACTGAAAGAATAGCTTGCTATAGACTATGGTAAATTTATCAAAATAAAACTCAAAAGCTGGAAACCATGGTGCAGTGTTTGGATGTAGTGGTCACATGAAATTAACATGATAAGTTCTACATAGTGTTGTCTCTCAAAAAATTTATGCATCACATATCATTTCCTAAAACTTTTCATAATCTGAGTAAAAAGTTGAAGACTTGTGACATACTGTTGTTGCTGGGAGAGAAGCACTTTTCCGGATGGCTCTGTTCATCAGTGGGGGCTCCTCAGGGGGAGATATTCTCTCCTCAAACTGTTTGGCTACATCTTTCACACTAGGAAAAATGTTCACAACATTAACAGTGGGTAGCCTGCAAATGGTACATGTATAGCAGGCCAGAATATACCCAACTGAAATATATCTCAGATTTTTACTAAATCGAAAACCTTCTATTTTTATTGGTGGAGAGAAAACCAAACTTTGTGTCTTGATTTGGTGTAAGTATGTATAAAATACTACATATACACAACCATTGTCTTGGTGGTGCAATAACCAATCACAGTTCAAATAGTTGCAAAAGGCAAAGTCTTAGATATGTACATGTAGCCTTATAAAAAATAATGTATAGGGGTGACTGTGGCGCAAAGATGGTTGGTTCAAAACATACAGCAAAACTACAATATAAGTACAAATGTATTTCAAACAAACTGTTCAAACTGTTATCAGGGTTAGATTCTGTAGCATGTTATAATGGGTGTTACAAGAAGACAGCAGTTAATATGACTATTGTGTGAATAGGGTTTACCACACACCATACCACAGTCAGTTCAGGGTTACAGAAATGTGATAACCACTTCAGATGGCAGGAAGTCTAACTACAGACCTGGAAGACAACCGTGGTCTGGGTTCTTGACTTTCCTCCGTAGATGCCAGTGAAGATATCACATGTTTGGAACTTGGTTTGGGCATGATAGGTGGCGGCTTCCTCTTGGGAGAGCCTGAGTTACTACTGCCCGAGGCCGAGGGCCTTCTTCTGTTGGGTGATGAAGTTATGTTAGTAAACAAGATTAATTGCCATGCAATCATCCTTTATCCTCACCCACATATTGTTATAATAATGTGAGATTCACATAGTACAAAAAGTAGGACAGTCACTTTTTTAGTCAAGAGTTAAATTTTGTACATGCTTGTGAGACATTGTTACTGCCCATCATTCTGTTGCTATTCAAAAGACTATCATGATAGAATGAGTCATACTTCAGGAGAGTTAAAGACCTTTATGTGTAGAAGTTACTTTTGTTTCTCATGCATTCATACGGCCGTGCTAACATTTCGATAGCCTAAATGTTAGTCTGCAACACTTCTCTGGACTCTCTCTATATACATGTATTCTATTCTAGCACAAATTCACTCCTCTGATCACACCTGAATGTTTGGCCCTTACATCTTCATTTTGGTACAAATTATTTCTGAGTGATTAAGCATCAGCATCTGATGCCCATGGATCACTGATTAATATACTGTATTCGTATTAAGATATTGATCATAATAACATTAAAGGCTAAAACTTTACTTATGGTTGTTAAGTACAGTACTCATTGGACATCAATGGAAATGCAGGAAACACACATGTACATTGTACAAAGATGACATTGAGTAAAAAGGGAATCGTGAATGTATGTTACATGAAATACAGAAAATCATACATATTATCACTATAATAGTTAGTAAAATTCTATTGCATAGCAGGATACTAACTCATTCTGTAGAGGTTTGTCTTCTTCAGCTTCAGCTTTTACTTCAGTTTCCCCAGGCTCCGCAGAAACAGGAGAAGCATCCCTGACAAAATAACAACAAATCAGACTTACAGAATACATTAAAGACAGTGATTGACTCTTTGGACACAAACAATGCCATGTATATGTCATACGTTGGTACAGATAGGCATCACGTAGCATTGCAAAACAAAGGTCACAACCACAAAACTGGTCTCACATGTACACCACAGAGAATGGAGGCAACTGAGCTGTGCAAGACTTAGTCAGAGAGCAACAACCAAACACAACACAAACTGACAAGGAGCTTTGATATCTCAATGACTGACACTATGATTCCTAGCAAAAAATTAGAAATGTCAAAATGCTGCATTTTTCTTTTGATGAAAAGACTTACTTGAGTACCTGAAAAATTGGTTGCAGATCGCGTTTACTAGTTGCTATTACATGTACAACTGGTACAAGACAGCGCCTTTTGATTGGTCACTAACTCCTATGAATCATGTTGATTAGTTGCTAAGTCTGACTGACAAACATATCGGTTACACAGTTATGATTATCTATCTAGTTTTCTTGGGGAAATGGGAACTCACTCGTCAATAAATGGTATGTTTTCTAGCTGCCCGTTGAAAGCAGAACCGGCACTTAAAGCATCTGCAGAACCCCTAGAAATACAACCAGTAGCATATGAGGGTGGTCAGATATAAGAGTGAGGCATAAGGCACATGTATGTTGGGGGAAAGATGTATGTGAGAGGGACACATGTATATTGTAGGGACACACCTACATGTATGCTGCCAGTGCACACTGTTTTGTAGGGATATACATACATGTATACTCATATGTTGCAGGGACACACGTTTTAGGGACGCCTACATGTATGTGAGAGGGACAGACATACGCTGTAGGGACACACTTTGTGGTAGCTACACACAAATGTTGTAGGGACACACATTTATGTTGTAGGGATACACGTATGTACACACTGTAGGGACACAATTATGTGATAGGAAGATGTATGCAATACTGTAGGGACACACGTGGGTTGTAGGGATACACGTAACAGGTTTGGTTCTGGATATGGGGAAGGATGGACATGTACGTTTTATTTTGTTAGTCACATTATTTTAGTGTGATTCTATCTAACGACATTTGGGTATTCAATAATGCTTAAAATAGTCAGTAGTTACTGTACAATTCTACGTATATCCTTATTCTACATGCCAGCAGTTAGCTGATAGGTAGGATGTCACGTGGACTTATAATTTTCTAAGATGATTTCCAGTTCCTTAAAAAAATGATCTAACTCAAATGATCTCAAGAATACATTTGATTTGTATATTATACTATGATAATCATCAGCATTTGCTAAGCACACTGAAACAGCACAGAACAGGGAGAACATAAACACAAACATAAAACTTTGTTAAAAGTCAGAGAAGCATAGAGTTATGAAGCGACAAACACATCACACAAAAAGATCTTTTCTTTTGGAACTTGCAACCTCTGATGTCTGATTTGAGATAAAATTGGGATAAAGGGATACATGTACAATTTAAGTCTTGTACCTTTTTGAGTATGGTCTCCTACTGTCTTGCTGTTTGTATTGTTTTGGTGTGCGTATATAACTGTGCAAGGCAGGATCGCCATAGGAGCGGTAGCCACGATTACGGGGTCTCAAGTCGTGGTGTCTAAGACTTTGAGGTTTGGGATTGTGGTACCCAAGACTATGATGGTGTCCTGTGCTGTGGTATCCTGGGATGTTGTGGTAACTGGCAGAGGGGCCAGTTCTGAAAGCAGCGACACATGTGCATGTACAGAGAGGTGAGAAAGACAGTCAAGCAGTGACAAAGATAGAGTAGTGAGACAGACGACAGTAAGCAAGTAAAGACATAGTACATGTATTGCAACACCACAGGAAAGCCCAAGCAACATTTACCCAGTTTGTTGATCAGTAAACTTGTTCCTACATGTACATATAGCCTGCTATCCATTCTACTCTATGTTCAGTGTTCTTCTCTAACTGCCTCTCCACAATTTATAGTCTGGCACCCATCCAAATTGAATGTTTGGCCTTTTAATATGTACCTGTACATCATTATTTTGGGAATCAAATATTCTTTAGAAGCAGTGTAACACAGTCTGAATATCAGAATGCCCGTTTGAACCCTGTTACCATGCCGTTACAGAGGTCCACGTGACTTGGAGCCAAAAAGAGCTCACAGATACATGTACATCTACATGTAAGCAAATGCCCATCAACAAGTGCCAGACTATTCTGCAGGGAAGCAATCAGAGGAGTGACTGGTGCGAGAATATACATGTATGATGGATATCAAGCAAACTTGTCGTGTACCAGGTAATAATACATGTTATCATCATAAAAATAGCAAAATGTTAATATCACATAATCTAATCAAGTACTAAGTGATTGTTTGTTCAACTAATAAATAGTATGTTACATGCAACATGCACAAACATGATGATGCATACATTGTTGTCAGATGTACATTTGTACATGTACAATGTATCTACATGTAACTAACATCTCAGGTCTTTAGAATACCTGTGTCATTGTATGTTTCCGGGCCGTTCCATGAAAAACTATGTAGGGCATGGGAGGCAGCCTCATGTATAATAATGTATAATTACATGTATATTATTCATAAAAATGTCTCCTGGTTTCCTGTCTTCCTGGAACAGCCCGTAGGCATGCTTTTGCGGTTGTGGAAAAATAAAACAAGCAGACTGCTACATAGGAGAAGATGTGATTTTTAAGTTAAAGCGAGAAAAAAAGAAGAGAAAAGCAGGAAAGTATTTTTGTAATACCATGCACTTACTGCACTCCAACATAGCAAGACTGGGCTGCTCGTCTGGTGATTAAGCTGGCATCAGTCCGGACAAACAACACGGGGTTCATAGAGAAGGGCAGGGGGCTATGAAATGGGGGGTGATTGCATGAGGAGGAGGGAGGTGGAAGACAGGTAGGTGTATGGGTAGAGGAAGATGTATGTAGAGCAGGGCAAGAGGATGCAAAACATAAAAAAGCAGCATTTAGATTGAGGGAGAAGAGCAAAGATAGTAGCAAAAATGCTATGGAACGCAAAGTTGTTAACCAATCAAAAACAGGGTCAGAAATGGTAGGACGTGTGTATACATAACAGCTTCATGGAGACATTACCGTTAGAGTATTACTCTGTGGTTTGCATGCATAGGTTTGTTTTTTCTTTTTATATGTTCAGAGTGAAGACAACAGCAAAGGGGCTAGGGACCAGGGAGGGGGGAAACAGAACAAAATGGGACTAACATTAGTCCAAAAGAAAAGAACTTGGTGATATCAAAGGATGCAAGGGGAAGGGGGGAAAACAAAAGGTGAAGAAAAATTGACAACATTTGTGAGAGAGGTGGGCAAGTCACCTACCTGGGTGGTCTGTGGACTTCTGGAGATACCCGATACTTGGGACTTTCGAGTTTTCTCCTGAGAAGGGCAGGCACAAGGAGAGGAAAGACAGACCTTACCTCCCACTCTAGCACTTAGTAATCATCTACTGTATTGTGTACTGCTGCAAAGTGATATGAACTTAACTACATCCAAGTCAAGTAATTTTTTCCACAATGGCAGTATCATCAGAAAAAATACATGTATGATGAGCACAACATGACTCCTGTTCTACAAATAGAGATTGACATGGATGGCTCAAAAATCATTTCTGGGAATTGGTGCAATGGTGCGCAGAAAAAATTGTTAGCACAACAAAAGAGCACATGCCAGCAAAACCTAACCAACCTTACTGACTGCCTCTCTTTTCAGAACTTGAAAATGAAATTGTATAGCTACATGTAACTTCAAAATTTTCAAAGTGAAGAGATGAGGAGGATGGTACAACAACATGTACTCACTGTAACTGTGGAGAGATGGAACCATTGATGTGTGTGGGTGTCTGTATCTCAGATGCTGCTTCTGCTTTCTGTCGAGCCTTCTCTTCTTCCATTGCTTCTTGTGCCCTGTAATCCAGCAAGTACATGCATATTGGTACTGTGAGCCATAATGCAAGAATGCATTCATGCGTCACCCCTTCGTAAGAAATGTATTTAAGAAACTTCAGGCTGCCAACACTTTTATTTTATTTGTAGCTTGAACAACTCCATGGCAATTATTTTATCAAAATTACCCAGTTAAGTTTGACAAAATGGTGCGTCATATAAAATCCTATTTCTGTGTGGGTCTGACTTCTCTGCAATTACCATATTAGGATGAAGGTTGGTGGTAAGGCCTGAAGCAGTTCCAGAATATCAGAAACTGACTTATGAATATTGAATATTGTGCCCACTCCTGTGTCCATCCCAGCTGACTTCAATTGCTGAAGTGCTTGTAAAACAGCCCACACCTACTTGTAACAGATGACTTGACAGGGTTTGGAACATGTTGTTTTTTCAGTTACTATGTTTTGAAATTCAGGAAGATCACTTCCATGCCCATGTGAGGGGCTTAAAGTAAGTGGTATCTAGTAAACCTGTAGGTGGAATGAAAATGGACTATGGCACAGCTGCATAGCTAAATGTAACATTTTGCATAGGTACCAGTACCAGTCAATACCTGTACCAGTACAAAAAAAACTAAAAAAAAGTCAACCCATGGTTGTCAATGATGACAGAACCAGAAGGTTTCTTTGGACTTGCAGTATCTCATGCAAAGAACCTACTCTTAATTTATAAGAGGAACTTAAATCAAAGATGGCACAGTGCTAGTGCTTTAGTCTCTTGCCAGACTTGTTAGACTACAAAAGTTTTGTCTGCCAAACCTCCTCTTGGCCTCTTCCATCTCCTTCATGGCCTGCTCCTGAGCTCGTCTTTCCCGCCGCATCTCCCCACATTTCCGCCGTGCCCTGTGACCTCTCCACTGACTCTGGATAGAAATGGCCGCTCTCTTCTCCTGCTGTTGAGCCAGCAGCCTCCTCAGGGCAAGGCACGCTCGGATGTTCCTCTGGAAGGTAGAAGTCCGTCATCATCAGGGCTTGAAATACCATCTGCATATGCAGCTGGTACATTTCAGGTCAGTTACACTGTACAATTTCAAACATTCTGCACAACTTTGCAAAACTCAGCTAACTGCTTTGAGATCAAGTAACATTTATTTCTTTACTCAAAACTGCCTGTTAACAAGAGCATGAACAAGTGGTTGTGATTAAAGAATTTTGCTATTCAATCATTCACCAACCTGATGAAATTATTTACAGTTGCTTTGAGATCAGTTTCATCTTCGAATGTTGGCATGTGCTGACAAAGTAAATTAATTCAACAATCTCACCTGAATCTTGATGACTGATTCCTTCATCCTCAGGTACATCTTGCGCTGCAGCATGCCCCTCATCCACACCTGGATGACTCGTATTCTCCGCAGCACCTCCTCATGCAGCGCCTCCTGCAGCTTCAGTCGCTCACTCTCACGCAGGAACACCTGCACAGCAGGGCGGCAAGATGGGCACAGTTCTTGTAAAACATAGAAATTCTACAAAAGCTTAGTAAGCCTAGCTTACTTATCCTACAGCAAAAGCAAAAGCAAATAGCTGACATTAGTTTTAAGTTCACTGTGGTTGAAACAATACAGAATTTAAGCAGTAAGACACCTGTTAGTCATGTGAGCTCACCATGAAAACTATGAACTTAAAACCACAGCAAATATTTACAATGTACAAATTTAATGCATAAAGTTGTACAGAATTCTGAAACTGTCAATATCAAAATTCAGTATTCAAAGAGACTTCAATCATATGTTACATGTATGTACATAATACATACTATAGCGATCTGCCATCAAACCTTGATAGCTGAAGTACAAGCATGTTTAACCTTTACACAACAGGGAACAGCAGGTGATAAACAAGATAGTAAGTGATATTACGAATGAAAAAATATAGTTGTAAACATACGTATGTCATATATTCACAGCATGGAAGAATGACATGAAGATGGTACAAGTCCAATGTAAAAGATTACAGTCAGCAAGGTACGACATATTCCACTGACTGCTCACCTACCGTATCATCAAAAGGTATTAAAGACTCAGATGGCTTTCAGAATCATTGATTGAAACCGCAAGGCAAGATCAAACACTAGCAGATGATGTACAAAATGGAAGTGTGTGAGTAATTCAGTAATGCTGCTGTAATTGACAAACACTGATCAGGCTGAGCACCTGATTTTACACACAGGAAGTGGCAATGCCTGAAGTCTGAGACCAAATAAGGTGCTGCAGCACTTCAAAGGGTCGCTCAAGTCCACACCGGTCATACTTATGACGGTAAAAATAACCATGTGCGCGGGCGGAAATCATTGCCTTATCAGAATGGAAAACACATGCCATTTTATAGGAGGGATCAAAGTGTGTGGAGAGGCAACATGCGGTTAACAACGTGTTGTTGAACGAGTTACTATGCAGGGGAGTGTACAATAACTAGTGAAGGAGGGGGAAGGACAAAATTAAGGCTTGGGGGTTTGGCCGAGGAAATTCTTTTTCAGAATTGCTGTCCAACATTTTGGGAATTAGGAAACTACACCATACATCTTCTTCGGTATAGGAATTTTCCTTTGCCATCTGCATGTCAACACAACAGGCAAATAAACAAGATGTCCTCCAATATGGCTAACGGTACTCAATTTGCATAATTTGTACATAGTAATGCTTTTGTGTTGCATGTGTCATGAAACAACCATCCAACCTGCAATGAAGAAAGCAATAATACACATTTAAACGATACACTTCTATTTGTCTGAATAGCCTTTTATTATTATATGCAAATTTCCAGATTTGCAGGCCATTCCTATATTTACCTTGGACTCTCCCATCTGATAGTGTCTGTCATCCAGCTCCATAGAGTGGAGAAACTCAGCAATGTCCTCCTTAGTACTCTCTATACCCCTCTTCAGAAGCAGGGCATACTGTTGGGCAAATTCCTGACAAAACAAAACAAAAATACTTATTACTTCACAATCACTTTACCAACAAATAACAATCTTCAACAATTACAAGACGTGTTATAAAGTATTTTGAGTCCTAACATAAAATGCAAGAAAGCATTGAATACAAAAAAAAACAAAACCTTCACAAAACTAGAACATGCATCTATGAAAAAAATTGGACACACTTAACAGGTGAATTTCAAAGTAATAACCAATTGATCAATGAATGCACACACTTGGAATGTTAGCCGAACACTGTAGCCAGACTGCCGGATGCGAACTGTCTCCAACATCCCCGTGTATCTCAACTGTCGTAACACCAGCTGAGAGTCAAACTTGCAGGGAGCCTGAGAAAGAGATGGTTCACAGACTATCAACCAATGCTACCATACAGAAAATTTATCGCACTTGGTACATACTAAAACGTAAAAATGAACGTGTCATCAGTTGGCAAATGCATTTAATTTTAGTGTTGAAGTCAATCCTTTATTCAAGCAAAAGCAATGTCTGTCACTAACAGTTTCATTTATATTCTAGCAGCTTAGGATCATATCATAAAACTGAAGGAAAGAAATATTTGTGTTACCTTATCTGAGTTAGACTTGATACATCTGACAAAGAAAGGCTTGGCTTGGTTCAGAGTCTCCATCAACTTGCTAAGAGACACAGAGAACTGTGCGCTCACAGTGGCCGGCGCTTTTCTCAGCGTTGATGATGGCTTCCCCTCCCTTCGTACTATGGTCTTCACACTGCGCAAGTCCCGAAAGCACTACAAGAAAAAAGTACTTGCAGTTATCAAATATGGCTATCTTGTGCATGAAAATAATTGGAAAAAGCAACTGGAAGCACAGGGAAAATTTTAAAATTTAATGAAGTCAAAATACAGATTTTACCTTGTGGGGCCTGCCATGACGGAATGATTTGTTTTTCCTGAAAATGTCAACAATAAACAATTGTTGTGAACTATGTTTGGGACAAAAAAAAGAATTGAATTTCTGCAAACTATAATCTATACAATTTGACAGGTACATCTTCGGCTGACGTTTAGAGACATCTGCATCAGTTTCTGCAAAATGTGAGAGAACTGAAATAGAAATTTTCAGTTTGTCTTAAAGGTCTCAAGTATTAAAGTACATATACTCCCCCGGACTCCCCACAGACCTTTGCACGCATTTCATTGCATGCTGGGCACTATAGGTAGCTCAGGGGGATAAAGAATTATTACCATGACAACAAACTACATATGATGATGCACCACATTCATGTAGTCAATTGGCAATGATGTAGTTGCCACCTGTCCTACCCATAGTGTCATCTCCCAACATGTATAAATGGGATCTGTGGAATGATTTATTGGTAGTTACTGAAAAGAGCATTACTAGGGATTTACAATGTATATTGCTGAACTACATTTTGTGAGAAAAGGGAAACCTACATGAGAATATTGGCAGCTCTGCGTAACACCTTGGCAACATTGGGGTCTGTTGTGGAATAGAGCAGACCTTCCTGTTCAAACAGTGTGCCACTTTCTCTTCTGGACGGGTGGCCAGTACTGGTGTGACGACTGCCGGGGTCAGGGGTGGAGTGAGGGCTGCTTCTAGGGGTCAGGACTTTCTTTGTGGGAGAGTGGAAGGCATCTTCAGGGATCGCAGGGCTAAGAGGACTGCAGAAAAAATATATGGATTAGTCATATACTGGATACTATTTAACATTCTGTGACAAGGAACAGAAAACGTAGCCTGGCATTAAACCTATTCTAGCTCTGATTGCATGCCTGCCAATTTAATAGTCTGGCACCCATTCCCACTTAAATACTAGGCCCTTATAATTACATGTATGTCATTAATTGGTTAAGGGATTGAATATTTTAGAAGAATTATAACTAGAATTGAATGTCTGTTAGAACTGCTAAATATACAATGCTGTTACAGAGGACTGTGCTACATGAAGCCAATCAGAACTTTATTTAACATGAATAATTTATCTAATTAATTTTCATTCTTCTTTATTAAGAGGTACAGTGCTATTCAGCAAGGAAGTGATCAGAAGAGTGGACTGGAGCTACATGTAGAAGAGGATGAATTCCAGAATATAATAGAAAATAGGTGGCACATGCGGTGAAAGGACAGAGAAGAAGAAAAACAAGAAGAAGCAAAACAGGCAATGATGTGTAAGATGGACTTTAAATTAACAGCAGACTACTGTACAGCACACCAGGACACACATACATTGTACATTGGGATGTCAGTTTAAATCAAGTCCTAAAGAGTTGTAATTTCAAGAAAAACAAAAGAAACTTACTATTTGGGGACCTTGACATACAGGAGTGAAACTGCATAATTATTTCTACAGGTGGATGAAGGGGGAGAGGGAAGAGTAGAAAGGAGGAATATTGATTGAGCAGTAGAGAAGAGAAATGATGTAAAGGGGAACTCTCGTACATGACTTGTGTCAAAGGAATTTGTATAAAGATTGGTGAGATCACACTTGAACACATCAAATACAGAGAGGAGGAAACAAACAGAACAAAGTTGTGGACAAAGTTGAAGTGATAATTATGTAGAAAATGATTTGATGATATGTGCGATTTTCTTTCATGCATGTATGTCTAGAGTGGACAAAGTTCATACAGGTAATTTGCGCTACAGGACAGTATGTGCAAATAACTGCACACGTGTGGCACACATATGCATAGGGTATCATCATACTACAATATCACTTAATTCTGTGTAATCCCGACAAGCACCTGCTTTACTTTAAGGCTTGGAGGTGCTTTTAGCAGGCCTGTTTGAACGACAGGTGCAGGAATAGGGTGTGATTACAGACCTGGGAGGCACTTCTTCATCTTCAGACGCCTCCGACAGGCTGGGTGTGGAGCGGAGACGGGAGCTGGGTCTGACCCTGGGGGCTGGGCGTGGTTTACCTGTACAGACATTGGAGAGTTTTATATACATTGTAGTTGTGCATTGTATATAAGTTGAAATATCTGTAGTACTATCATAGATATCATAGTACTATCATAGATACGGGTTCTCTATTACAATATGTAGCTCCCAGCCAGTACAGTACTGAGTAAACAAAGTAGACAGCTTCAAATGGATTTAAAGATTTTTTAACAAGATGGTTTGGGGTCAGTTCCTGATCTTTCCACAATTAAAACAAGTCAAACTGTAATGTTAAGTGATTTTACTGGCAAAACGTTTGTTACATTCGTTACAGAATTAATACAAACACCTGTTTTTGTTTTTCCAGCGAGTACAGAATGGAGTAAATCACCCCATCCATTACCTTGGTTTGCTTTCCACCTCTTTCCGGCATCACGGAAGGCGGACACACTTCTGAAGAAGGCACGAAGGATGGCCCAGCGGAACACAGCCACTGGATCAGTACCTGTAATATACATCAAGATTGGTACATGACTATTTGTTGAACTCTTACATTGTTGTAATTCAGACAATTTTTTTGTTTGTGTGTTTACATATTTGAAACTTTGAAACTCTTTGATATTTGGTAAAGGTGACGGTACAGCATAACAGAACAGTTCTTAAATGTGCTAGAGGTATCCCTCTCCCAATGTATGGGACCTCTGGCTTTATGTCCAATCCATATCCACCTTCAACTTCTTCTTCGTGTGTAAACAGTACATTTACACAGAATGTACTTACTGATGATTTCCCTCACAAAGGCCATGTGGCTGTTCTTCAGCACAGAGACAATGTCAGACCTCATCAAGTCAATGTTCTTCTCTCTGAAGTCCTGAAAAAAAAAACATGTTGTTAAAGAGTGTCAGAGAAAGAAACAAACATCAATATTATAAGAAATACCACTAATAGCTTGAAAGTTTATTTGTGCTGGTAGAGTGTATTTTGCAGCAGGAGTTAACTGTATTTTCCAACGTGAAATGAAAGTGGTACTTACCAAATTTTCTACTGAACAACACGGGTATTTGTCAAGGAATGAGCAATCCCCCACTTCTAATTCTATGACGCCACTTTGTGCAGACAGGACACTGTGAGCAGTGGATCAAATATGCAAAAGGCTTATGGCATCCTCCATCTCTATTAAGGGATCATGAGTCACAATTTCATCTGCACAAAGTGATGTCATAGAAGCAGTGGGTTGCTCATTCCTTCACATTGACTGGTGCTGTTCACACCAAAACCTATGTAAGCCCAATTTTTTCGTCTGGGTTAAATTAAAGTTACAAGTAAGACAGTAGTAGTAATTAAGTCCAAAGTTTCACCAACCTGGATTTGATATTTGACCTTGCCAGCATAGTGCACAATGACAAAGGACGGTTCGTTGACCTGGGGCCGTTCATAGTAGCCGTTATCCTCATGTTGCTGGTGGAACTTGGTCAGGAGAGTTTCACTGGTGGCATTGGGCAGCCTTTGGGAGGAGAAACAAAATTGTATCAATGTAAGAAGTCTAGGAAATATAAGAGATAAGGAATCATGATGGGGATTCAAGGATGACAGGAACATCCCGATGCACCAAAGACCTTTTCACAGATGACTGTATGACAATATTGACCAGACCAGACATGGTACATTTTGTTCATGCATGGATTTTCCACATATTCGTTGTCATGGTGATATTGTGTGCCCATTACCCACAGTGCCCTGCATCTTCCAGCATGCAACAGGATCCAACAGGATTATAAGGAGGAATAGAAAAGTTAAAATCGAAATTTCTGCCAAAAGAATTATGCAATCAAGCATTCTAAGTCTAAGACTCTGTGACAAGTACACAACTTTTTAAGTCTATCATATCATTATGATTAACAAAATGAAACATTGCTATGAACAAGTCCTTTATGATCAATCAGTTCAGAAGATTTGGAGAGAACGTCTGCCTATTTCCCACCCACCTGCTTTCCTCGTCCAACAGATGAAGCAAACCTGTAGGTCTCTTGGCTATGAGTGACAGACAGCCAGTGTTGTCTATGAAGTCTATGTTCTTCCACTGGATACCCTCCTTCTGGTACTCCTCCTGCAAAATGGTTAATCCAAAATACTGTTTTGTTACAGTAGTTCATGCTGACATTTACAGCACTTACAATTGCCACTTCTTCCTGTAGATGTTTTTGGTAATCGGAATTGTTGCTAAAGATTTAGGAAAACTATAGAGTCTTTCATGTAATATTTCTCTGTAACTATGGTAGTATGAACCTACATGTGTAAGTGTGTTGCCATTGATCATAACCCTCACTTGTTGGCTGTCCAATGGCCTTTCAAATGCAGGATTCTCATAATTGTCTATCACTTCAAAATAAATCATGAAATATATCTTAACCTGGATTACCGTAGATGTAATTACTGACCTGTTCCAGCTTGAAGACATGCTGGTTGAAGTAATACTGCAGGTGTTCATTGGCAAAGTTGATACAGAACTGCTCAAAACTGTTTTGTTGTCCAAAGTCTTCAAACCCAAAGATGTCCAGCACCCCTATCCAGTTACCCTGGAAAAAAATTTTTTTCTAATGTTACAACATAAGAGTTTATTCCTAAAGTAATAATACTGTAACAACGGTTTTAATACACTTCCCAGTAACTCTACAACAGTACAGTAGCCAAAGACACGCTACCACTAATCCTAGTGCTTGCACACCGCACAAAGGCTATAGAAACAGCTTCACCTTATACACGAAAAGGCATGTTAAGTACTACATGTAATAATACTAAATATGTACATTCCAGCCTCCATGTGTGCATGTCAGTACCTGATGATGTCCTTTGGCCTCCTTGTGCAGAAGAGCATGGTTCAGCTGCAGTACAATCCAGTCAAACAGTCCGCTGTACAGGGACTTAGCCAACGCATCCCTGGTAGCAACAGCCTAGAAACGCAAACAAACAATTTTCAGAAACTTGTGATAATCTTCTATACTGGCTACCTGTTTACTGTGGCCATTTTTTCCAAATCCCTTAAAATGTCACTACAATATTTGATAGATGAAATAAAAATGCTTTGTAGCACTTCCACAAATCAGGAAGGTTACAGATAAAGTCAGTATCCTGACCTCAGCCTGTCTGTGTGAAATGATGATCCTTTCTCTCCGAGCTATCGTTGTCCTGGACGTCAGCGCTTCCAGTAATGTCTCTTCTTTCACCTGGAGATACATTGTATAACATTATGGACAATTAATACCTGTCAAGTAACGTTACGCTTTCTCACCAATCAGGTTCTGGCAATAATCCATGCTAATTACTTGTAACAGTTTTGTGGTGATTCTTGACCAACAAAGGTTATGACTTCAATTTTGGATGTAACACTTATGATTCACATTAAAAGTAACAGAATATATATCAGGTTTTTAGATTTAATGGTATGTACCATGTACTGACAAAATGGTCCTATTTACCTTCAGCAGCTTGGACACTATGCTCAACTCTTCTGGATTTTTCACTTGAACTGCATCCTCTCCATCTCGGAATATCTATACCGCAAGATACAAAAACAATTATTGCTAAGTGTGTTATATAATTTTCCTGTAATTGTGTGTATATTATCCTTTTTATTACAGGGCAACAGCAGACCAATCAAATACAAGGAGAACATGGAATTGAAAAGTGAAAATTTAAGTACAGGCAAAAACTTCTAATACTTACTCTAGTAAACACTATATTCCCCAGGTGCAAAACTGCAGACAGCACCGCAAATATTCTGTAAAGACAGATTCCAGATTAGAGTGCTGGCAATTTGCCAATGCAAGACTTAAGAATGTCATTTAGTGTTCAACATTATCTTAAAGTTTTGAAACATGTTAAATCCAACGTTATTGCACTAAATGTTTAGAATGTTCTATTTGGCCATACAAATTATCTTCCTTGGTACTTGTTGATTTTACATTTCAGCATTATTTTTTTCATTTGAGACCAAATAAATAAAATTGGTGTGGCCTTACTAATAATAGTACATCATTGTACTAGCTGATACAAAATGTAACTCATATCACTTGACAAAGAAAACTGATACAAATGTACTTTAACAAAGTACTGTACACATTATAAGTCCATCATTCTGTTACATACATCTACCACTAAGTGTACTAAAATAGATGTGTCCTTCTCACCTCTTTTGAGTGCCTGAGTAAAAGCCCACCATCTCCATGGACTGTCTCAGTCTGTTGAACTCAAACACACGATCTTCCCCTTCAGACATCTCATAGTTGCTCTGAACACCAAGAACAAGAACAAGACATCAATGAGCCACAGCTTGTAGAGCTAACATCAACTCTCATAATTCTGCTTGGTACCCTGAGACTGTGCCACAATGGAAGAGATCTTCATGTTCCTGGGCTAAGTGAATAAAGGACAGACCGAGAAGGATGGTGTGGGGTGTGGTTCGAAAATGTTGGTGCACATCAGCAACTCTACCAATTCCACCAGGTACGAAAATGTACCCTAAGGCCACCAAATTTAAGTTAAGATAATGATGTTCTCAAGAAAGTCTTGATCCTGGATATACACTGTAGGAAGTGTGCATACCTACCAGGATCATTACATGTAGTATGATGTACTGATGCTGCATTTATATGTCTCTTTACAATTAGGATTATTTTTGAAGTGGTGGTCTGGAAGTACACAATGGAATTCTGAGTTGAACTTACATACATGACTTTGATTTTAAACCTCCTTGCATGACTCAACGCATTCATTAGTACTTCAATGATTAGTGTGTTTGGGTGAGTATTACACGACTCTAATTGTTAATCAAGATTATCTAGTATACACATTCCCGCATGCATCTTACCTCTAACTACTGTACAACAATTGGGAGTTTATAAACAAAAGCGACAAAGTTTGGAAACTTTGTTTCTGTTGATCATATCTACATTGTTACTCAATCAATTCCATTGGTCCACTGCTCACAGCATAAGGTGACATCACAGAAGCACTGGATTGTTCATTCCGTGACAAAGACTGGTGTTGTACAGTCAAAAATTTATGTAGGAAATTATAACTAAGCTTTCCAATGATATAAACTATTAATGGAATTGATCAAGTAACAAAAAATTAATCAACTGAAATAAGTTGTCAAATTGGTGTTATCATTAGTTCCTTTTCCTAAGTTAGTTATGCCTTAAATGTAAAACTCTTTCAGACACAAACCGATACCTCAAGACATAATGCAACAAAGGTTGGGTTGGCAACAACTTAAGGGGATCACACATGCCTTGTTTTCCAGCTTGCTGCATGCTTGGGGTACCCAGGTCTATTGGGGTGTTGAAAAGACAGTTGGTTTTACGTTAAAAAAAGGTGATCACTGGGAAGCACAATGAAGACATTTGAGCCTTATTTCACACAGAAAACAAGAAAAAGAATGCAAGCATTTCAAAACATATGACACTAAAATACAACATTTTCTGATTATATATGTATTCATCATTCATCAACAATGATAGTATTATTCAATTACATGTTTGCACCAAATATCCAGCCTTCATCTCTTACTGAACATGGTACATTGTGTACCTTTTAAAATCATTCTTTGGACTCCCATATTCATACAGTTATGTATGTTAAGGCCACACCAGTTTAATTTGTTGGTTCTCGGATTCGCCTCTTCGTTTTTTTCTGATTTGCAAAAAAAAGAAAAATTTGATTCTGGTCCTGAATCAACTGAAAAATGCTCATGTTTTGCCCCCAACAGTTGAGGAAAGTCCTTTTCTTCCTAGTTGTTACACTTTTCCCATCTATCAATGCAGTGGTTTGATTAAAAGTTCAAAATTCAGTGTTTAAATTTTAACCCAGCCTTTTGTGTTGACTTCATGGCTTATTTTGTAGCATTTAAGCCTATAATAGGATGCCTAGACCTGTTTTTATTTTTATTTTTTTTCGCCCTGTCGCTTCATATTTTTTCTGACAAAATCCGAGAACCAACAAATTAAATTGGTGTGGCCTAACCAAATAATACTACATGTATAATCATAGTTGTCAAATACTAGTACAATCAGAAAAAGTTATCTGTTGATTTCATCTGGTTTTCAACATGAGAAATAAATGCACAAACATAGCAGTACAGCACCTCAGATTATATAAACATTTGTAAGACACCACAGGGTTATACCAATGTTAGACAGCGCCGCCTAACAGTTTTGGTAAGATCTGCACAGAAGCAGGCTGGTACAGTGATATTGATAAGATCAAACAGCAATTTGCAGCCATTGCCAAGTCTGATAGTGGTTATAACAACCTCTCACTGTCAGATGATGCCCCTAGGTAGTCATTACCACCAACTTGTTGGATACTAAATTACAATCAAGCGTTATGGCTATCAACAGGAATCACCAACAACCATGTATAGCCTCTCTCAGAATATACCCTTAGCTGTAATATACCCGGGTATATTCCAGGGATGTATTTTGACCATGGGTAAATTCTGGCCAGCTACATGTATGTATATGCCATGTTTTGGTGGTCTTACTTAAGACTGTGTTTTTTTCTGCATGCGTCTAATAACAATATACTGGACTTAATCCATATCAAACCTCCATCTCTATCACATTGTAACATCCCATCACTTAGATGATCACTACTAGTAAGCCATGCTGACCAGTCATGTTTTGTTTAAGAACACCCCACATACTCCACTGTAAGATATCTGTCATGTAGACATGTACACCATAACTACATAATGGAGAGGAATCCTGGCTTGAATGTGTGACAATTTAATATATGTGAAAGGCCTAGAACACTAGGACAACTTGTCTTCCCCAAGAAGAAGAATATTGATTAACTGGTATAATTCATGCAAATAAGGCTCTTAATTGCATAATGAGAAAAATTTATAAAGTCGTAAATTTAAGGGTAACATCATTTGGCAAAGGTACAATGTACTATGAATTTGTAGAACTCGTAGAAGTTTAGCTTGAAATTCATTTGGAATCAATTTTTTCAATGAAGCTCTATTAATCTGTGACAAAAAATCTAGACTGCCAAAAACTACTTTCTAACCAATACCAAAGTGAACTTTTAACTCTACTTCATCTATCAATGTATTACTGTATTTCAGTTGGTAAGAAGAAATGCTAGAGATCCAGGGTTTGAATTCTGTGAAATGACATTATTTTCATACTTGATTTAATATATAAAGTCTTACTCTTGCGTTATTAAGATTCTACGATTTGAAAGACTTACCTGGTTCAGATAGAAAAACTCCTCAGGCTTATGCAGCATCAGACTATCTTTAAGGGTTTGGTTGGCACCAGCAAGAAGGTAGTAGAAAACATGGTAATTTCTGTAAAAGAGATTGTAGTTGTTGGCCTTTTGCCAGTGGTTTTATTTTCACTACAATATAATAATTATTACTATATTATAATTGTGCTACAGAATTGCTTCAACAGCAAATTTACATCACAGTGGAAACCTCCTTTTCCCTCCTACTAACTGCAAAATAAAACCACCACAAAAGTAAATAAATTTTACAGTGCTTTGCGACAGCCTAGTTATATCAGTGTAGTAGTCACAAAATTCACAACGGGGTGATTTGTATTAAATAACAATACAGTAAGCCCGTCAGAGGTGCTATGTTGTTCAGAATATAGAGATATAGAATTCAGCAATGAAAATTAATCATACCTGTGTACATGTATATCTAAAGCTACATAACTGATTAAATGACTGACTCTACTTCCAAACAAGTGGCAAGACAGCCGGGAAAGAAGACAAGTCTGCTTGTCCGATTCCCATTCATTCTCCTTTCAAATATTGAAATGTAAATCAATCCTAAGATCAACAAATGTCATTGACTATTCAGAAAGGAGGAAATCAGAGGAGCAAACCAGAGTTAGAACATTGTGGATACCAGACTCACTGTGCCTTGCAAAGCTAGACTGCTCACACTACATTAACAAACAGCTACTATACAGTATACCATTAGATACATGTAAGTGACATCAAACCACACTGAACAACATCTGCTCCTGCAATAAAATACAAATTTCACCTGTTCATCCTTGTAACACACTGTTAAACATCAAAAAGATGATCACCAAGATCCACCATAAAATACAGCGCACCTTTCATTGGAGGCTTGCGACACTATTCTAGACTTCTCCAGTAGATACTTCTCCACAGTGGCCCTGTGGGAGAGAATTGAAAATCAATTACAGAACAAATCAAACCTGTTACAGCTGGTCTAGAAAGTTCCATCTTCACAATATTCTCTGTCATGATGTTGTGCACGTCAGTTTTAAATGCACGCATTGTGCGTTTGCCAGCAGCATAATATTCCGAGAGAAAACAGTTTTAATAAGGCCATAACAATATAATTTTTAGGTTCTCAGATTGATTTGTTGATTTTTGTTCTGTATAAAGAAATCACATATACACAAAAAAATACAATTTTAAAATATTGATCAAACCCAAAATACTCAAATGCCAATACATGTATAGTATTTGGGTACCAACAGTTGAAGAAAGTCCTTGTCTTTCTGGATTGTACATGTAGGTGCTGTAGTTCTTCAGTCTTTTGGTGCATCATAAGTTTGAAATTCATTGTTTGGAATATTATGCAGCCTGGTACATGTACATGGTGTATGTTGATTGCAACTCCAGGTAGCATTTGGGTCTATCACAATATGTCCTTTTCTTTATGATCATTTGGAAATCTTGCATACAAAATGTACTTCATGAAAGACATTAAAATGGATAGTGAGTGACTGACAGTGTGCCAGCCAACCACATTTTGTCTCTTTGAGAACCAAGAAATGAACTTGGTGAAACCTAACATTGTCATTTCTATGTAAATTTCAGCTACAATGGCTCCTGAATCTAGTGAATTATGGTATATGCAAAAGTTGGCACGTCAACCTGATACCCTGCAGGCACAATTTTCCGTCTACAATAAAAACTAATTGAAGAGGAATATGCTGGTGGCTTCCAAGTAATGATCATACATCTACTGCTTTGCAATATATTATTAAGACTTTACTTTGAACATACATCATTATCATATGTGTGTGTTATATAACTGACACACTGTATTTCCTGATATAAACTGCACACTTTTAAAACTTGTCATTATGCAGGTGCCCCAGGCCAGTGATGATGCTAGGACACACAATTCTAATCTGACAAAAAATTTTGGACCTCAAACCAGCTTAGAAATCAGAAGCACAACATATATGGGAGGAGCTTGGAACAGCAATGAAGTGTGTTTTGTTTATAGAACTACATGTAATTTATACTTCAATAATGGAACATATTCTGTTTAACTAAGGTACAATCCATGCACAGTAATCCACGTTAGATTCCCTCAAACTTCTCAGCCAGCCTAGTATCTATGGTCAATGATTTCTCACGAAGCGAGTTATACACACAATAATACATGTGCATAATTTATTACAGAAAACACATCTCACAGCTGCTGTTTCTCTTCTATAACACTCTGTTCCTCACAAGTGCTTACGTGTAGGTAGTATGCACATGTATCTAAAATAGAACGCAGCCCAAGACATAAGATTGGGTGACTGACCCATGTACTGTGCCATTCTCCTTGTAGTTGAGCTGGATGAACTTCCCAAACCTGCTGGAGTTGTCATTATGGGCTGTCTTAGCATTCCCAAAAGCCTGCAATACAAGAAGATACAGTACATGTGTATTATTGGCTGTACATGTACATGTAAATGTAAATGTAGATGAGTGGGTGGTAAAGGCTTATCATGAGTATATAAATTTAGTCATTAGTTGATATGAATAAGGAGCCAAGACAAGTGATAAATTGTCAAAATTGTCATCTTTGAAATGGGAATTATTCAACTTTTAAGAAGCATCTTTAAAAAGAGAGTTATTCACACAATTATACATTTAGCCCTTTTTGTCATCTTTAAAAAGATTGTCAGTATTATAAGTACATGTAGTACCATACCCCATATCTTTTATGACTTTTTTTTAAAATTTGATATGCACAAATGTATCATGACTATCCATTAGCGCAAATACATGACATTGTAGTTTTACTACCAGTAACAATGTTTTGAAAAGCAAGACATCTACATGTGTACAGAAAACTCTTACAACAAGGATACATTGTATGTAACAGATGTTCAATACCTACATGTTAGTTACAGTAAGTGTGTTCATGTAATGGGGTACAATATACACCATCTGGACCTTCTGAATCTAAATGGAGGCAAAACTCTCTACTCTCTACTGCAAAATGAAGTCCCATGACCATTTACAGTAACCCCCCTCCCACCCCCGTATGTCCTAGTATGTATGTCCAGCTCAATGTAACAGTCTTTCCTTAGCTCTACCCCTGACTGTCACATGGCTGTTGTTGACAGTTGGGTATTTACATAACAACATGGGTGAGTTAGGGATCATGGGAGGTCAAAATGTCAACTGTGTGTGTGTGATGGGAAAGACTGAAATTATTTGCTTCTATCTGAATTTTCTATGGTTTTTATATCCATACATCTGCACCTCTCATGAGGGTTGTTCCACCAAACTTAACCCATAGCACAGCAACTACATTGAGGCACACAGCTGAAGAAAACATAACCTGTCATGGTGGCTTGAAACACCACCGGCAGACATGTATGTAGCTTTAATGCAGGCAATACGGGGTATATACCTGCACTGGTCCATGTACTGGATCTACGTACATGTAGTACACGTATACTAGTATGTGGACTTTTATCAGAGGGGTGGGTACAGGAGTGTATGTTTGTCTGAGGATGGTGTTGTGAGAAAATACTCACTTATTACTGGATACTAAATTTATATCTTCCAGAGACCACCATACACATGGCCAAATGTTGACTGTACATGTACAATATGCATGATCACACTTCTGATGTTTCCATCCGGTGATGGCTATAAATCAAAGCTGATTTGATTTCCATGTTTCAAATCAGAATTAGTATGCACAGTCATAACAGATACAAGAAAGGTAGAGAAGCAGGCAAATATTAGGTGATTGCAAATAAGGGAAAGATATAGCATAGTGTATTTTATAGCATTTTATGGCATGCCTTTGTACGCTTTGGTGACTTTTGATGCCCTTCAGTCTTGTTTAGGGGCATCCAAAATACCTACCAGAACAAAAACTGGTCTACGAAAGTTGCATAAAATGTCTTAATGATATGTAGTTGGATCTTCTAATTTGAAATCTGTCTCTGAAAATGCGAGACATGGAGGTGGAGGCAGAAATTCAAAGCAATCCACCATCCCTAAAATTTCACACTCCTAAGGAGCACCCTTTACGCTGGAGACCAGCTGGAATGCTGTTATGCTGAGCTAGTGACAGTTTGGCAGTTGCTCTTCTTTTCTTTTCCTTCAGATCAATAGCCAATGCTTCTCACACATGATTTTTGACCTGTTTCTAGTCCAACTCCAACATATGCACATCTGGTACAAAAGGTTTGGGCGTTCTGTGACACCATCATGGGGAAACAAGCTGACTCCATCCATAACCGCCCACAGAATTCCTGAGAATAATAATGGATGGTGGCAGCTACCACTATAGGCACAGGCTGTCACTGCCATGGCCATTGAGGTGACTCGACCTTGTCATGGGGATGCTAAATAGAGCAGCTGGGTCTCCGCTGAACTGGGCACTGCAACAAGACAGAACTCACAATTATCACGTTTGGAGAATATACTGTAAATTCTGTAACTTTTCAGGTGTCATGGAAGGAGGAGAAAGGAGGTTTTTACAGTGTTTTAAGTTTGTACAGTTGAACACAATGAAAACACACATTCGCAGTGTCATGATTTTGAGGTACATAGAGAGGTGAGGTGAAAATACAACCACTGACAACATTCAAGATGTTCAGTGCTTCAGGTCAGACTCTGGGACAGGACTGGTGTGGACTTGAAATTGAACTTGGATATTGTTCTTATCAGAGGTTACATAAGAACTGTGGGGGGGGGGAGGCATGGATGCCATCCAAGAATCACATCAAAATGTGCACTTGTGTCTAATTGAGCGAGGTCACCCATCATGGCATTAGGCTGTACCAATTTAACTTGTTGCTGGTAAGATAATCAGATTTTAGTAATGCTGAACAGGAAAATCAACATGAGAACAATTTTTTAGGATGAGGTGGTATTAGTACACATGGTTTCACAGAGCGGATACAGTCAGATGAAACTTTTCTCCCCAGCACTGTTTCATCTGGACATTACAGAGCTTTTACTTTAAAAATATCTGAGAACCAAGAAATGTAACTTATGTGGCCTTATCTATGTTGTTTTAAAATTTAAGATTACGATCAATCAGTCTTAACTCAGTCTTACATACATATTTCAGAAGGAGCAGATTTAAAGCATGCCCAAATTGTATCATCCAAAAAGGCGATTGCAATTCTAATGGACTAGCCTGGTTCCCTTTCCCAAGCACTGTGTCAAACAGATACTGTAACTCTTGAAGTATATGCAGTGCTGTTAAGTTTATCTTCCTAATTATTTTCACCACGATCTCTTTCATGTGACATCATCACAGATTTTTGAGATTACCAACTGCAAACTTTTAACCTCCTTTTATCCACTACCATGAAATCATGTCCATTTGAACTCCACCAAATGCTGACTCAAACAGTTATATGAAGTTCTCAATTCTTTCCAAATAAGGTAATATAGAAGATGACATCAAGGGAGGACCAATCAGGTGGGAGACATCTGATACCTCTCCAGCTCTTTGTGTTCCCAGAGGAGTTCTATTTCCAGTCCAGGTCTACACTGAAAGAGAAGACACACTTGACATCTGTGTGTAATGTTTGTTGTTCCCCCTCACACCCCCAGACCCTCCTCCAGGACACTGGGGTGTGAAATGAGCTCTCTTCCAGCAAAGGTTGTAGATATTTCTGAGTGACCTTGAACACAACAGGACTCATACACTAATACATGATATTTTTTTGGAATTAAATATAATGGAAAATGGCCACATTTGTAATAAACCAGTAATACCATCTTCAAACGTTCCCTCTGCTTAATGATAAAATCTTTTCATGCCTTTCCATTATGTTACTACTGTACCACAGAATTGTTTCAACTGCTCAGTAAAAACTTTGACCTTCCTCCTCTTCCTTGCACAAAATAAAATTTACAGTATTTCCCTCTGAATTTCCCTTTGGACCACTCAGCACAACAAAGCGTTCACATCCGACCCATCTCTCCACTGCCAACACTTAACCTTACTAATCCTGTCTACATCTAAACTAAATCAAGATGTTTGTTCTTCTTATTCTTTTTCTGTCTCAACAGGGTTGGTTTATTTGGCTGGAGCCTTTTAGGATATAAGCCTTGCTTCAATCTTTCAACAAATCTGATAAAATCTTTAGGATGTCTGCGTTTGGCATTGCAATGCTGCCTAAATTATAACGTTATCACTTTTGTAAACAAATTATCTTTGCACAGAATATAACCTAAGTTCCTAACGTGGAATGTTTCACAAGTTAGACTGACTTATTCCCAGTGTTAGTGGCATGGACTAGGGTTACTGTTGGATGGCATGAAGCCAGTCTTGTTGGAGATTCTTGCTGGTACAGCAGACTGTTTGCATTCCTTGGTGGGTGTAGTATTCAGGGGTCAGACTGCACAGTAGGCAGCAGTAGAGGGAGGTGCACATTTGCTACACTGGCAATGGAGCCTGAAATATAAGTGGACCCACAAGGCAATTGGGCATGGCAAAGCCCTTCCTACTGCAACTATGTAGTGTCACAGGATCAAAGGCATTGCTAAAGCAAGCAGAAAGAGTCAAGTTCATATCATGCTCTTTCTCTATCTCTGGATCTCAACTTGCTTTAAGAATATAGTGGAAGCACATTTTGATTCTTAGTTCAAGTACATACCATAATCACTTCAAAACTAGAGTACTTTCAGCATAAATCTTGAAGATGCTTATACATGTACAATACTAGTACTGATATAAACTGTTCTAATCATTGGGTGGTAGTATTTACAAATGTACATTTACAGGTACATGTGTTATAAAATCAGATCAACCCTACATCTATTGATGGAACTGGATCCAACCCAAGGAAAAAAATTCCAACACCAGTGAGCCAGTAGGCAGGTATTCTTCAGTGCTGACTGGACCATATTTTAGGAGATATGATCATTGCATTATGTGACCCAGTTTAATCCAATATGAGTGTGGAAGCTACATATAGTATTGGCTTTCTCCCATCTGTTCATATAAATAACTTAGCAGATAGTCTACCAGAAGCATTGTGTTGAAACATACTGCTGCCATGTTGATGACATGTAATTATGTATGTTTCTTTAAGGCAGCACAGCCTGTGGAGGAAGATTATTGTATGAAATTCTTTCATTTGCAATTTCCAATACAACTTGTGAATAGCAATGTTTTTCCTTCAGATGCAATTTTACTTCAATTGATAATTTTTGTTCAGACCCTTTAAAAAAATTAAGGCTGTCAATATGGAAATTGCAACATATTGATTCAATAAATGGTCATGTGCCCTAGAAAGGCTCTGGTTATCTAAGAATACCATTCATATTCAGTGGTCACTGGCCATTCTATTTCCACATGTGATTGTCTATGCCATGACTGTGAAACATATAAAGGATATACATGTACATGTATAATGATAAATGTGGAA